TGGTTCGACTTGTCGATAACTGCCATCAAACTCAGAATTCAGGTACTCCATTGCACTCACATTGAAACTTCAGATAAGCTCAGACTGAGAAGGTAAAGTTTTGTGTATTTGTGGATAAGGAAAAGCAATATGGTGGTTGTGCTCACCTCTGGAGGTTCTGCAGACTCGGGGCTCGATGTGCTCTGTCCCATTCTACCTCAACGCTCAGCTGGGCCATCAACAACAGCCACTGCAACACACAGCAAGACAACAGGCTTAATGCAAAGATCACCATCACATTCAAACAGGACCACTACAGGCTACGCACATATTCAGTTCAAGTCCATGCATGTTCATCTGGATAGATTACTAAAATGAAGAAAAAACAGATCATGGATGATGATTGGTCAATACAGCTTCTCAGCCATGCTAAAATTAGTGGTCGGCTAATATTTAGCATTTTTAAAATATCGGCATAAGTTTTTCTGATTGGCCGATGTTTCGGAAACGGGACTTTTATTTTGACGGCGCCCTCAAATCACTTGGACGTGGCTGTGGTTACAAGAGGTAAAAACTATATAACTACTGTTTGTTTTCTCACACAAGCCGCTCGTTTCGTGTCTTAGGCCATCAATGTGTACTTACATTTCCAAGTCATTAAATCATGTTTAATTTGGACTTCTCTGTGCATGCTTTTTAAGGTGGACCCCATAGACCTCCATTATATGACTGACAGACACGAACGGTTTGACCTAAAAATACCAATACTGTGGAAACAAAGACACCCACATCTTGGATGCCCTTGAGGTAAGCTAAAACATTTCAAAAATTAATATCAAAGGGAACTATCCCTTTAATAAAATGCAAATATTGTTTTAATAATAGTAATGTTTATGTAACCAGGGCTGAAAAACAGGTCTACCAATGATCACAATCAGCAGAGGAAACTCCCCAAAAAACTGATGTCATACACATCCATCAGGCCTTACTACAGCATGATTTAATTCTCATGATCTTCCTGTAAACCCAGCATAACCCCATCTTCACCAGTTCCTTTCACATCCAGGGTTGCACAAAAAGACTGCATGTACACTGAACCACACGCTCGCTGATTTTGCTGACCTTTGCAGCATATACAATAAAAGCCCTTCACACTCATTACACGCACAAGCACGTTTATAGCGTGAGACTGAGGCAACGACCAAACCTTCAACAAAAATGTACATGTTTACTTGCATCTCCCATCAAAATACTGAGCATGAGTCCATCTAAAGCCATTCAGTGATGTCATCATCAGTGTCTGGAGGCAAACAACTGAAAGCAATGGGGGTGGACAGAGGATTACATTACTCAGATCACAGCACACATAAAGGGATTCATCCACATATCCGTATCTGACTGTGAGCGTGTATAAAACGCACTAATGACAGGAGAGGACTGTAAAAATGTTTGTTTCAGTTTGTAAGAGACTGAAAAGCAGGATTTTTTCCAGCTGATGAACGATAAAAACATTGACGGCAAATGAGAATCCATCCTGCTTTAAAGAGCTTGAGCATTTAAAGCGGCAGATGACAAAACTGCAGCATGTAATAAATTGAAAGATGTTGTCCATGCACTGTAAAAATGAATTTGCTTCATCTAATGAATAGAATTGTGGCAACAGATTACAAGCAATATTATTAATTAAATTTAACAAATTAGAATTGAGTAATAATTAATCAAATTATTCCTTAAATGGCTGTTTTTTGTGTTCTTTTAAATTGTAAAATGTACAGGTAGTTCAAAGATCATTCATATCAGAGATTTACTGCTTATACAGGTAAAAGAGATGATTGTATCATATTCAGATTGGTTATAGACAGAGATAGCTTTGAAAAAATGACATTCAATTACACACAAGAGAGTAAATGGAAACAACAGGGCAATAATGACAGGGGGAAAGAGAAAGAAAAGCTGAAATGCATGTATTCGTTACTCACTAATGGGTACCTTCTAATGGCCATTGTCCTCAGTTAACAATGCCCTTAGTATGCACCCTTAAGCATGAGAGAACAACAAAAGATGAAGCGCTCACACACACACACACACACTTACAGACACAGTTTTGTTTCAAAGCCCCCAACCCATGTTGCCCCAACTGACATTTACAACACTCAACGATTCAATAAGAAACGAACTAAGCTGCACTTAGACATTGTCAATGGTCAAATGTGACCAACAGCCTGAACAACACACTGTGAACAATGATTTCAAATGTTATGCATGTGTGACAAAGACGACTCATGCATAAACTCAAGCAGGACTTAAACTGCTGGCACTTTTTATGAATACAGTACAAAATAGGGCCTAAACGCTTTCAAAAAACTAAAATAAAAATTCAACAAATGGTCAATGAAAAGAAGGTGCTTGAGCTTCAGACAATGTTGCCAGTTAACATCAAGTGGATTTGAACATTTTATTAATTGCATTTTAATATAATTTTTACATTTCATTAATAACATTTTATCAAACAAGATACTTTTCATACTTAATTAAATGTATTAATAGTTAATTGAACTTGCCTAACAGTAAACACCGGATAGCTAATGGAAGTAGCATCTTTGCTCAAGTAATGGGACACTCAAGTGTACCATATTCATTAAAAGTGAAGCGGGTTGGTCCAGCATAGAGGTCTATGCCCAAAGTCTATCACATGACATTTAGGCCACATGCAACTATAGCACATTATACCACCTGAGAAGTCAGGGTCCACGATACATCATTTATGCTCATCCCCATGTCATATGAAAAGCAGAACATGTCATCAGTTGTTGTGATAATGAAACAGCATCATGGTCTCGTCAGCTGATCACGGGTTAAAACATGTCAGCAAACAAGCCCTGGATGGCAGTGCACTGAAGCTAAACGCATGACATTTAAGAAAGTGATTCCATATCTGAACCCATGACTCACCTTGATGTTTTTTTCTCTGCATTCAGTGCTGTAAAGTGATCCGTCCGGCGGGCTGTAACGTTATTAGTTTGCGCTGATGCTGTGCGGTGACCTCAGCAGATCAACACACAGCACCGTCTGCGACCTCAACCGGGAAACTCACCTTACACGCACAATAAACTTACACTAGATATAAAACGTGCTGTCACATAATCCGGATGACCAGTAAAAGTGTACATGGTGTGTCGTTGATAACCCTACCTGAAAGCGACTGTCCGTCCCGATCTGTCAAACAACGGTCATACCGGAAACATCCGCTCAGAGCTCTGCGTAGATTCCACTCGGTCAGTGAAACAGCCAATCAGAGATGAGAAGCTGACCAATCAGATTTCAGAGAATTTACTTTCACCGATTCACTCCCCCACTGTTATTTACAAAACGTTTTTAGTCTTCGGTTTACTCTCACATCAAATTTACTTGATACTTTTAACGATTTAACCTTAACAGAAACACCTAAAAAGAAAAAAATATGTAAAAAATTACATTTATTCCCCATGACTTATCGAGTCATTTTTTTGGGAATATATTTATTTATTCCTTTTGGGATTAGAGAGAGAGAGCGAGAGAGAGAGAGAAACACCTAAAAAGAAAAAAATATGTAAAAAATTACATAAACATTCCCCATGACTTATCGAGTCATTTTTTGGGAATATATTTATTTATTCCCTTTTGGATTAGAGAGAGAGAGCGAGAGAGAGAGACTGACTAAAATTAAATTATTATAACTAAAAGTTGTAATGTTTGTGAACTGAAATGCCTCTGGTCAAAATAGCTATACCAAAAGCTTATACCAAAGCTAAATCTAAATTTCAGGTACATATCACTTACTCTGATCTTGACATGGAACCGAGTTTAGATAAGTGCAGTTTGTTTCAGGAAAGATCAAATTCTCTGAATCAGTCAGATATTAACTATAGGACACTGATGAGCTTGATCAACTGCATCAGAAAGAATGCACACCATTTATCAAATGGATTTCTTTCTGATTGAATTTAGTAATGTACTTATGTAATAATGTACTCATCTCATTCTGAATCTTAATCTTTAACTACTTTGAGAGCAGTCAAGAGGTCAGTCAATTGATCTTGTACTGATCGAATTGCTCGTCAAACTGAATTATGCATTCGGAATTATCTAATACCATCTAGTGTGGTGATCTTTAAATATACAGACTCTCCACAGTTCGGCTTGTAATGGTTAAAAAGCTTTTCATGGTAAGAAAAAAAGTATAGTTAGTTACACTTCTACTTCAATTTTTTTTTAGGTACAGTGAGGGAGTGGTTTCATTTTGTAGCAAAAAGTTTGGTGGAAATATAATACAGAGCAAAAACTTTGGTGATTTTTCCACATCTTATATACACATTATTTTTGGGTTTATATTAATGAGAATAATCGAATCAAAGCAAGCTTTTATTAATTGGAAAGTGTATACCCATACATGTAAATATACAAAAAGTAAATCTTGCTTTAACATCTTCAAACAAGAGTTAAATGTGTATTTAATATCACCATGTCTGTTAATAAGAAAGCTATAAAAACATCTAGAATTCGTGTCATGTTTAATATTACTTCGGAATATCCTTTTATTAATTTTGTCCCCCTTTTTCTTTTCTTATTTTTTACTTCTATTTTCAACGGGCTTTTTTATATATTTTCACTTGTTGAATATTGAGACATAACTTGTTGTCTGAAAGTTTGTTTATGTGTTAATGTATTGTATATCCTTTGTTTGTTAAAATTGAAATAATTATAAACAAACCTCGAAAAAAATACAACCTTCTAAAACATGTGGCCAACTTTGCAACACGAAATCAAACGCCTGCCTCCAGAACAACATGTCAAAATAAAAGTCCGTCACGAATTAATTACGATTAAATTATTAATATTTGTTGTCTCTTGAACAATACAATTACCCAATGCATCGTAAAATATGTTATTATTTACTTAAAATTACATACATTTAATATTCTAATTTGGGATAATTTAATTTTGTCTATGTCAAATTTGACTTTTATTATGACTTACCAGTATATGTGATCCTGTTAACCCGGTTGTCAATGTTAACTGCAGGCATGGGAAAAAGCGGTGCATAAACTGTACAGATTTGTTTTTGATTTTTGACATTGTCTCGAAAGTATTCGCTATACACCTCAGAATCAAATAAGCTGTGATGTATTATAGCCTTACAAACATTTCGAGCGATTAGCGATGATTTTAAGACTGTCAAACAGGGCATGTGCCCTCTCTGGGTCAGCTCGCCTCAAAAGCACTTTGTCCTCCTACTTCGATGAGATGGGAAAAGCTGGTTTCATCCTAAAATCTGCGTCAGCTGGCATATTTGAGAACCTAGCCTTAGAAGACTGGATTCACGATCACGTTGATCTGCAAAACAGAAGCATATTGTTATTATGGAGAAATTCCCCAGTGGTGGTCATAGGCAGACATCAAAACCCCTGGGTGGAGTGTAACCTTCCCCTGTTGAGGCGCCTGGGGATCCCGCTAGCGAGACGTCGCAGTGGAGGTGGGACGGTTTTCCATGATTTTGGGAACATCAACATGACTTTCTTCACTTCCAAGAAGAAATACGACCGTCCCAGAAATCTTAAAGTCGTTACCAGTGCATTGAAAGCCCTCAGACCCGAACTGGATGTCACTGCAACAGACAGATTTGACATTTTGTTGAATGGACATTACAAGATTTCAGGCACTGCTGCGAAATTAGGCAGAACCTCTGCTTATCATCACTGTACATTGCTGTGCTCTGTTGATCGTTCAATATTGTCCTCGGTTCTGAAGAGTAACGCTTCTGAAGTCATCAGGAGCAATGCCACCCCAAGCGTTCCTTCCCTTGTCAAGAACCTTTCGGATGTGGATCCCACTCTTGACTCCGATACAATCATGGAGGCTATTGCTTCCCAGTACAATAATGAATTTGGCTTTGACAGCCCAGTCATCACAGTTGACCCCACTCATGAAGCTCTTATGCCTGGCATTTATAAGATGACAAAGGATATTCAAACGTGGGAGTGGATTTATGGCAAAACTCCAAAATTCAGTGTGTGCGCATCTTTAGTGGTAGATGATGTGAATATTAAGCTTGACATGGACATCAAAAGTGGTACAGTAGAACAATGTGCTGTGGAAATCCCTGAAGGCTGGCTTCCTCCAGAGACGGTGAACGAGTTTACATCAACTCTCAGTGGCAGCAAATACTGTCCAAATGAAGCTGCAGTGCTGGTGGCGGCGTTCACGAGAACTCGTTCAATGAGCGCTGATGTTGCTGGGAAGATTCATAGATTGTGTGAAGGTGTGCTTTCAGTAATGTGAATAAAAATGAAGTCTGATATAAACATTGTGTCACCTGTTTCAAAATCCATGGACAGTTGTCTCCTGCAGTCACACTTTATCCACAAATGCAGAGATTTTATATGAAAAATACAAATACTGCTATTCTATGATGAAACCACTTAAATAAATGTAAAGAATTGGGCAGAGATTCTAGTACTGCAGAAAATAATTAGCATATTTTAATTATTTAAACCATTTAGAGTTTGCGCGTATTCATAGGGAAATAATATTAGATTATATTTAGTAAGAAATATATACTATTGTTAAATAGTATTGTTAAAAGTAATAATGTTACTAAAAATTTAAATCCCCCGAAAATAATAACATTTATATATATATAAATAATATTATATACATATTTTAGACAGATAAATAGACTTTGAAATATTTTTAACATATATAAATATATATTTATTTGTATCATTAATAATATTTTAATTACCCCACCCCTGTTTAATATATATATGATTTTTTTTTTACATATCTAAATTAGTATGTTTGTGTCATAAAGTTTAGCTGTTGCTGCTAATCTGCTAACATAGCCTACTTGCCATGCGCGGCGCTCCTGTTCCTCAGACTAGTATGTCATGTAGATAGCCTTTCATTTTATTCTTTAAAAATAGTCTTATTTTTTGTCTTGTGTGCGGTTTGTTCGAGAAAAAGTAAAGGAACGGCATTATTTTGGAGTCAAAGGCCCCGAAATCTCATTAAAATCGCATACATCCGATTTTAGCCGAATGAATGAACTATCCAGAAGCGCTAAAGCTCTGCGCTGAGGCCGCCGTACACGATTACTCAATGTCAAGTGCGCATGCGCAATGCGAGCACGACCAACTTGCGTGTCTACACCGACTACACTGCATCGCAACGAGGTTGTTACAGTTATTCACACATAATGGGAAAGAAACAGAAAAATAAGGGAGATGACGGGTAAGTCAGAACACGGGCGAATGCGTGACACGAGCTACAGTGAATTACTGTGCTGTTTGTAATCTTGACAGGCAGGGTAATGTTTAAGGAGACACACTGTTAGCCACCTGGCTAGCTTCTGATGAGCATGAGTTCATGTGCCGCTGTAACTAGGCCTGTTTTGATCATTACCATACTCACGCTCTTAGCAGAGAGGAGTATCATCTGTATATCACTGACAGTCACTGATACAGGTTTAGACACGAGGCTGATTGGGTAATTCATTGTACGCATTTCTTATTTGTCGCGTTTGTGGCTTTAAAATGAGACGCGAGTAGGTTTAGCCAGCCCCCCTGAGTCGAGCCGAGGTCCTCCAGCTGTGAGTGTTAGATTAGATGCACTTCACATCTGCTGTCATATCATATCAGACACTGTCCGAGCACAGAAGACATGAGTATTTAAGGGCAGTGGGCTATGTGTGTATTACACGCAGTTTCTGATTTCTCGTCCGACAGTGCAACATCATCCGTTTCCATTGTGCTGCCTGGCGGTTTCGCATTGTCTTCGGTAAAACGCTCTTCTATGGGATGCCATCGATCTTTGTTCGTGTAGAAACGGTGTTGTGCCTTATTTGAACTCTCTGCTACCTCGTTGAGGCCGCTACCTGGTTGCCTAATCCGAACCCCACCCACACACCTAATCCTAAACCTACCTGGGGTCATAATCTGAAGGACCGGGTCCTAATTTAGGATAACAACTGTAACAGTTAGAAATCTTGAGCTGTGGAAATGTTAAAATGCTGAGACAGTCTTTCACCAGCTGGACTGGGCTTTGGCTTTCCCACTGAGATCAAGTGGTGTGATTGTGATAAGCTTATGAAGAATAATAAAAGTGAGTCCGGCTGTGTTTAAAATTAAGATCAATTTTTGTTAGTGTGTGTGCATCTGATCTTTACTTTTCTATACCCGTAAGATCATATGTTTTGTAAACATTTTAGTGATTAATTATTTGAAATTATATTTTCACCACAGTTCTGGAATGAGAAAAAAAATCGTAACACTTCATTGATGATTTGAGTAATTGGTTACGAGTGATGTACTTCTCGTAATCATGGAAAAATACATAAATAAACACGACAGTTCTATCAATTTATATAATGTTCATCGTTGTGCGTAGTTAATTTAACATATAATTCAAAATGTCATGCAAACTTCAATAATAAATATGTCACGTGCATATTGTTTTTGGTTTGAGTAAACATGTTTGTACGCCATTATAGTGATTTTGGTGAATCGTTTGTTTTGGTGATGCACAGTCACACTTTATCCACAAATGCAGAGATTTTATATGAAAAACACAAATACTGCTATTCTATGATGAAAACTATTAAATAAATGTAAAGAATTGGGCAGAGATTCTAGTACTGCAGAATATAATTAGCATATTTTAATTATTTAAACCATTTGGTGTTTGCACATATTAATAGGGAAATAATGTTAGATTATATTTAGTAAGAAATATTAATAGAAATATACTATTGTTAACTAGTATTCTTAAAAGTTACAAAATTAATAAAACTAAAATATTTTTAGAAAACGAATAAAAAACTAATATTTGTATATTTATATTAGAGGTGTAACAATATATCGCAATACAAAAATGCAACAATACGTATCGTGGATAGTCCCCCCAAAATTGAAATTACTGTGTGAGAAAACATTCTAGTTTTCAGAGTTTTAGAGTAAATACTACATTGAACTACTATATATAATGTTGATTATAAAGTATAATAATGCAATGGGGGAATATTTGTGGGTCCTGATAATGCCAAATGTTACCAGTAAAAAGTGTCTGACATTATTAAATAATTTACTTTTTACTGTATTTAAAATTTTTAAATATGTCTAGTCATTTAAACCTACAATGTAATATCAAATTTAGCATTTAATCAACAGTAAATTTTTTGTTAACCTTTTACCATATGTCTTGGAATATCGCAATAATATCGTATTGTGATATGTATCGAATCGTGACATGAGGGTATCGTTACACCCCTAATTTATATTTTTATCTATGACATTTATTATATTAATAATAAATATATCATAGATGTATTGTTTTTGGTGAATCCTTTGTTTTGATGTTTTTAAACTGGTTCAGAGTGCACTAAATGAATAGAATTATATTCATAAATGTATATATTATAATTATATATATATATATATATATATATATATATATATATTAGGGATGGGCAACGATTAATCGCATCCAAAATAAAAGTTTATGTTTACATAATGTATTGTGTATAATTAATTTGTATATATATAAATACACAGACATGCATGTATATATTTAAGAAATACTTGCATGTATATATTTTATATATATTTATACATAATTATATTATATAAAAATATAAATATTTGATATATTAATAACACATTTTTCTTAAATATACACATACATGTGTGGGTATTTATTTATATATACAAATTAATTATACACACTGCATATATTATGTAAACAAACTTTTATTTTGGATGTGACTTTTATTTTCCCTAATATATATATATATATATATATATATACTTATATATTATTGGAAATAAATTGATCAAAAATCTGAAGCTTGGAAATGATTGTATTTTTTATGTCAGACTCTAATCTTTTATGTTCTTCTGTTCTGTTTGCTGTGTGGATTGTTTTTAGTTTGTTACTTGAAATCATTATTTCATTTTTAGGTTTTGCTGTATTACTGGGTGATGTGGGACAGTAGTTTCACCTGGTTTGACCCGTTTTCTCATTGCGTTGTATAGTCGCTTGAATGTCTAAATTTAGCTAGGTCTGATGCTGAGCAGATTCTTGCTCTTCTGGCCTTGCTGGAGGTGATTAAGTAGATTAGTGCCCTAATGAGTGTGTTAACCTATGCTGACCATTCAGTGCTGGTTGCTATGCCATTCCCTATTCAGTCTCAGAAGATGGCATGAGATCCAGCCATGAATTATTGCACTTTCAGTTGCATTAAAACAAGATTACCTGCAACTATTCCTGCCTTTTGAAAACTGGTTTGCTAAAACATGTTTTTGAATTTATTAAACACCCCCCATCTCTCCTTCATTCATTCATTCAAGTAATTTGTCCAACTGTCTATTAGCTGGTCTTTCATCATCTGCTCTGTGTTTGCTGAGGTCAGCAGTTTATACGTGAGAGGGCTCTACCTTGTGATGTGAGGCTAGTAAATGATGCATTTCCCTTTCTGATGCAACAAGCATGCAAGGAGGGCTTTAGACTCCACTATATAAGCAGCAGCACTAGTTCACTTCCTCCTTATTGCTGTGTTTGACTCGGCGGGTAAGGTGCACATGTTTAGGCATTTAATATGCTCACTTTTTTGTAAATCTTGTCGCAAATATTGCTATCTGCTTTTCATTGGTTGTCTAGAGTGGTTTTTGGGGTGTGATATGCTTCTGTGCTGCTGTTGTAATGCTGGTTGATTGACGAGTTTGTCAGAAATATATTGACTTACACCACTGGTCTATAATAGGAGTCTTTTTAGTGAAAATATAATGTGAAGTCACAGTTTTCCTGGCCATTTGCTATCTGCATTTACTCAGAGGTTAATTATTTTATTGCACCGTACACGTGTTAACCTGATTTCATCAGATATTTGTAGTTTTATGTACATTTTTATTCGCTTTCTCATAACATTTATATATTTATTTAAATGCAATTTTTTTTATTTAAAATGTACACCATTTAAATACCCTGTGAAATATATATATCCTGTTCAGACAGGAAGATTACTATTAGGGTGATATCATGCGATTCGTGAAAGTCATAGTTATAATCCAATGTCCTTGAAGAGGTGAACTGTAAATGTTAAGTGTGTTTGTGCGTGATGATATTTTTTTGTCACTTTAAATACACCACCATGAAGAAGCTCTTAAAGTTACAACGCATGAAAAAATGTCCTCCGTCAAATTGAATGTATTCATCTTTTTTCTGATTTTCATAGTGCCAAAGACGACGGGGTTGACATTGACGCACTTGCGGCAGAGATTGAAGGAGCAGGAGCAGGCAAGGAGCAGAACAAATCGAAGAGCAAGAAAAAGAAAGTAAAGAAAGAAGAGTACGAGTAAGTCTTCGTTTCTTTCCTCCAACACTGACACAGTTGATATGCCTAACACCGTGTCCTAACTACACGCGACGCAATAAAATTCCAGCGACAGCAAGTGTGTCTGTCCACACTAGACGCGACGCGACTGTGAGATGCCACACATTCAGAACAGCGTGTGAGCAGAGTCTCTCTGTGAAAGCGCACTGTTGGCCCGCACTCGCATTGAATATGGGTAAGGACATAATCAAATCAAGAAATAACATTATTAAAAAATCAAAACATTAACAAAATATACTCATTGACTAATTTTGTTATGAAGCACAGTCGTATGTTTGCATAGAATTCATTTTGAACGCTATATTACATGCTTTCAAAATCTGAGGTAAATTATCCGTTATCTTGTGGCACAGTGACCTATTTTTAACTAAAAATAAATAATGTGTACTCATTACCAGTGTAATTTCTTCATCCTGTCAGCCGCGGCGTCGCAGAAATAGGAACCGTTTCTAAATGAGAAAGTTCGCGTGTCGCCGTCGCGTCTGGTTGGGACAAAAAATCTGATTAACATGGAAAAGATACCTTTTATCGCGTGTCGCGTGTAGTTAGGACACGGTGTAAAGCCTGGAACACACCAAGCCGACGCTGCGCCTGTGTGTAAAGGAGACAACTGTCTATTTCTGCTGACATATTCGTCATTCAAAAAGGGAAACCGATGCTACTGGCTGCATATACACACCGTAAACAAAGCAGTACGTGCTTACCGTTTTGAATATCAATCCTGCTAAACAAAATCTTTAGCATTATCTTTTTTCCACTCCGCTCATGTTCATATTGAAATATTCGCTACGGTAAGATGACGTAATATATGAACAGCCCAGCGTCAAATTCGCATCTACCGCGTCTTGTTTGACGCTTGACCACTTTGTGTTAATTTGCGCGTCAAGAGTGAAACTGACTTTTGAAACCGGGTTTTGATTCCGTCGCGTAATTTTAAAAAATCAAAAGAATTTACAGTGCAGCTTTATTTTTACAGCCATCTTTGATCATATTTACCAGGGGTTCCAATAATTCTGACCAGAAGTGTATGAACCCATGAGACTATTTCTGCCACAATACCATGGTTACATTAAATACTTAAAGACTTTTACCTCTGACCCGTTTTCATGCCTGTCCTTTAGAAATAATTCTAATATGCTGATTTGCTGCTCAAGAAACACTTATCACAGTTAAGCAGTTGTGCTGCATTTACTTTCCATATTAATGATGAATAGAAAAGAGCAGCATTTATTTGAAATAGAAATCTTTTGGAAGTTGGAACATAATAAATGTCTTTACTGTCACTAATCCATTTAATATGTGGAAAAAAAATGCTGAATAAAAGTATTAATTTACATGAAAATATCAGTCGTGTAAATGTTTGGAAATGATTGATTACTTCTTTTTATTGCAGCGAGGATGAAATCCAGAAAGAACTAGAGAGGCTGTCATTAGAAGAGAAAGCAGGAAACCCTGAAAAAGAAGCCGCAAAGGTACTCTTTAGTAAAACAAACCGACAAACACGTTTTCCGTTTTCCTCCCTCTTCTAATATTGCAGAGAGTCATTTTCCATTGAAAGCAATCCCTGCATGTGTTTCCCTCTTAGAAATCCGATTCAGTAGAAGAGCCTGAACCTGAGCCCACCTTGACGAAAGCAGACAAGAAGAAGGCCAAGAAGAATAAGAAGGCGAATCTGGAGGATGAGGAAGGTGATGAAGATCAGGGTCCGAACAACATGGAAAACGAGCACAGGACGGAAGTTACAAAGACGGTGGCGCCTCCCGCTCCTGCTGGTCCTGCTTCAGACTCTGAGGACGAGGGCTCGCGGTCACGACAGAAACCCAAGGCTAAAAAGAAAGGCGGGCGAAAGGGCGCGTCTGACTCGGAGGAGGATGATGAAGATGGTGGTGCGAAGAAGGGCGGAGGAGCGGGCGACAATGACGACTCGGATGATGATTCGCAAACCTCAAGCAAGAAGAAGAAGGGTAAAGGCAAAGCCAAAGCAGAGAGCGAGGAAGACGAACGAGAAGACTCGTCCTTCAAGATGAAGACGGCCGCGCAGAAGAAAGCGGAGAAAAAAGAGAGGGATAGGAAGAAGAAAGAGGAGGAGAGGGCCAAGCTGAGGGCTAAGAGAGAAAAAGAGGAAGAGGCCGCAAAAAAGGATGAAGGCAAACCAGTTACCACACCTTCAGCAGAGAGCAAGACGTTAGAGACGGCGGCTTCAGTGGAGCAGGAGGAGGCCGATGTCCAAGGAGAAGGTCAGATTTTCTATAGTACATTGTCAGGAGCGTTTCTATGTAGCCTGGCTAGTTTATTGAGAATGAGACGTGGTCTGGAAACCACACGTTCGTTTTCTCGTATTTGAGGCGTGGTTTACGAATGCCCAGAGCCGTATTATTGGGTGCTACGAATGTCTATCTAATGCGTCTGTAGCCAATCGGTTCAATGATACCAGATGACGTATGTAGAGCGACAGAAAATTAGACGATGTAGACGACGAAATATTTGTTGGTTTTAAAATCCAATATTCCGATATATCGGCCGATATTTTTATTTTTTTATTTCAGAAACGCACAACAAAATATTGAGTTAAGAGAACTGATGGGGATGTTCTTTTAATAGTTGTTAAAGCAGTGTATGTCTCGTGACCAACTCACCATGAACACACTTCACCGATTATCTCACTCACGGATAACTGGATCTCTCTGCCCGACTCTGGCTGGATCAGCAGGTTGCAGAATGTATGGCGCGTTATACACGAGTGTTGCCAACAGGGACAGTGTAGAGTGCCCTCTGGTGGACAAACTATACAACTCCAACACTCATGACATGGTTGAAGCATGATTCGCCCGCTTTTATTTTATTTTTTAAATATTCATTTATCGGCCATTATATCTGCCGATACCGATATTTTAGAAAATGCCTAATATTGGCCTGCCGATATATCAGTCTGGCTCTAATTATAATACATACTGTATGAATGTATGTAAGTATGTATGTATGTGTGTGTGTGTATATATATATAATTTGTTTGTATTAAAAAAAAAATATATATATATATATATATAGTAGTAAGTCTTCTTTTGCACACCAAGGTTTATTTACAAAAAATAATTATTTACAAAAATAGAGTAATATTGTGCATTGTCATCACAATTAAAAAAAAGACTGTTTGAATATATTCAATTTCTATTTGAATATATTTTATCATCATTCTAAGATGCTGATTTGCTGCTCAAGAAACATTTCTTATTATCCTTATCAATGTTGAAAACCATTATTGCTGCTTGTTTTATTTTTGTGCATATTTTCAGGATTCTTTTATAAATAGAAAGTTCAGAAGAACAACATTTATTTACTTTTGATCTATTTAATGCATCCTTGTTTAAATAAAATATGAATTTTCAAATAAAATCATATTGAACTGTAGGAAGTAGCAATTTTGCTACTGAAGTTTGAATCAAACACTATTAAAGTCATTAGACGAGGAGTGCTAAATTGTCAAACACACGCTTTATAGGAAACTTATAAAAAGCTGATGAAAGTCATCATGATTATTTGTGAATATTCAATACATCAAGCGTTAAGACCATAAATTAGTTGATAGCATCTAAGCCACACTGGTTGATATCCAAGATGCTCATCTGGGTTACTTCAAGCCTACATGATCATACATGAACTAATTTCCCCCTCTCTCCTCTGCTTTTCTACAGAAGAGGCTGAGGGCGATAAAAAGAAAAAGGACAAGAAGAAGAAGAAAGGCGAAAAGGAGGAGAAAGACAAGAAAAAGGGTCCCAGCAAAGCGACGGTGAAAGCCATGCAGGAGGCCCTGGCCAAAATGAAGGAAGAGGAGGAACGAATCAAAAGAGAAGAGGAGGAGAAACAGAGGCTGCTGGAGGAGATGGAGGCTCAGAGACTGGAGCAGGTCAGTGGAAAGACACGGTCACTCAAGATCATGGTGTCATATGATTATGGTTCCTTCAACTCTGAAACCGTCATCCACAGGAGCGTCTAGAGGCCGAGAGGAAGGAGAAGAAGAAGCAAAAGGAAAAGGAGAGAAAAGAGAGACTAAAGAAGGAGGGAAAACTCCTCACCAAGGCCCAGAAAGAGGCTCGAGCCAGAGCAGAAGCCACGCTGCGAGCACTGCAGGCTCAGGGTGAGAACATGACCGCTAGTGTTTATGATGACGTTATGATAATGGTATTTGTTGACCCGGTGGTGTCGTCGGCTTCCTTTCAGGTATTGAAGTGCCATCCAAAGATGCAATGCCAAAGAAGAAGCCCGTTTACTCTGACAAGAGAAAAAAGAAGCCAACTGCACAAACTCCTGAAGGTTAGATCCTGACTTGCTCCCTGCTGTAATCAAAGATGGTTCAAATGTCCTAAGATTTTTTTTGTTGTTGTTGTTGGCTTATATTAGAAACGTCAGAAGTGACAGCACCTACATCAGAGGCACCTGAGCCAATCACAACAGAGGTGGAAGTAGACAAGCCTGTTACGGAGCCAGGTAACGACCAATTTACTCAGGTTTAAAATGAAAAATATTAAAGGAGTCGTTCACTTTTAAAAAAAACTTTTGCTGATAATTTACTCACCCCCATGTCATCCAAGATGTCCATGTCATTCTTCTTTCAGTCGAAAAGAAATAAAGGTTTTTGATGAAAACATTCCAGGATTTTTCTCCATATAATGGACTTCAATGGGAACCAAACGGTTCAAGGTCCAAAAGACAGTTTCAGTGCAAACTGTTCAAAGGGCTTTAAACGATTCCAGTCGATGAATAAGGGTTTTATCAAGCGAAACGATCGCTCATTTAATAAACAAATAGCAAAGTTTAAGTTTTATAAGCTCAAATGATCGCCATGCTCTGTTCTGTGATGCGCGTTCGTGACTCTCCTGTTTGACCTCGTTCATCAAAACGAACGAATCTTTTTCCGAGTCATTTCGTTTGTTGAATGAACCAAATGACATGAAAAAAGATTTGTTCATTTTGATAAACGAGTAATCAGTCATTATTGTTATTATTATTACTACTAATTCTACTGTTTTGAGGAGTTCATTTTAGTAAGAGTAATATATTTTTATCACAATTTTAGATTTTTTCATTCTTTAATGAAGACCTTTAAGTTTCTGAGTTTTGACATAGGGCTGTCAAACGATTAATCGTGATTAATCGCATCCAAAATAAAAGTTTGTGTTTACATAATATATGTGGGTGCACTCTGTGTAATTATTTTATATATATTTATAAATACACACACATGCATGTATATATTTAAGAAATATTTTCATGTAGATACTGTATATAGATTTATATATAATTTATATTATATATTAATACTTTATAAATCATTTTTTTAAATATACCTGCTTGTGTGTGTATTTATATATACAAAATAATTATTCATAGTGCACCCACACATTATGTAAACACAAACCTTTATTTTGCATGTGATCAATCGTTTGACAGCCCGAGCAGATAGTCATTTTTGTGGTTTAATAACTACTGACACTATTCCATATCACGATTTGAATTTGATTCATTTTACAGCTTTACTTTTGAGTTATTAATCCAAAATTTGCCAAATTCTGTCACATTGCAATGCTATACAGTAAAATTGCCCGTTCATAAATTTAGGCCTGTAAGGAAGTATGATGGCTTCTTAAAATGAACATTTTCATTGTTACAGTTAAGGAGCCAAAGGCAGAGGCTGCTGATCTGGACGACTGGGAGGCCATGGCCAGCGATGAGGAGAAAGGTGGGGTCCCACAGATCCAAATCTTTTAAAATCAAAGTCATTAGGTGGTAGTTTTCCACGGTCCCTGATTCGTTTGACATTTGTGCACTCAGAGATGAAGAAGGTTCACATCGAGGTGAAGGAACCCACTGCAGCTACAGAGAAACCTGCTGAAGACAAGGAAGATGGCAGTGAGGAAGAAGAGGATGATGAAGAGGAGGAGGAGGAGGAGGATGATGAGGAGGAAGAAGAGGAGGAGGGTGAAGGAGAGGAGGAGAGTGAGGACGAGGAGGACAACAAAGACCGCAGCAACAAGACGACCACAAACAAAGCAAGAAAAGAGCCGAGCTCGGAGTCGAGCAGCGAGAGCGATTCGGATGATGACCGAAGCAAAGAGGAGAGACTTTACGACAAGGCCAAGAGGCGCATAGAGGTGCAGATCCTCTGTGTTTTGTACGGATATATAGAATATTTTAGTCTGTGGACTCGAAATCAATCATGTTTTCCTTTGTGTGCAGAAACGAAGGCAGGAAAACCTGAAGAACATTAATTTGGACAAGCTCCGGTCTCCTGTGGTTTGTGTACTGGGTCATGTGGACACCGGGAAGACCAAAATCCTGGATAAGGTGCGTTTTAAAGCGACTGATGTGGACTTGTGTGGATTTTGTGTTTTATTATTGTTTTCTTCTCTGTCCATCAGCTGAGACACACACATGTTCAGGATGGTGAGGCTGGTGGTATCACACAGCAGATCGGAGCCACAAATGTGCCCCTGGAAACCATAATAGAACAAACCAAGATGGTGAAAAATGTGAGTTTATTTCTGTTTGTCATCTCTTTAAAGCTTAAGATGTGTTTCAGGGTCTGTACAGTCATAGCATGTAGGTTAGATGGGTAAATTAATCCACACAGAATATCAGATCAAATCGGTAATTTGGGAACGGTGTGGGCGATTCAGCTGTGCCGGGTTTGCTCTCTAAGAGATGAAGCTGCCTCATAAAAAGCTCAGTGTCAAATTGAGTTCTTTTCGTGGCATGTTGGGCTTAAACGTCCTAATACACAAAAAAAATGTCAAAATGGATGTCTTTATGAGTATTTATGTAAGCAAAATCAGTTATGTCTTAAAGGAGTAGTTCACTTTAAAAAAAAACTTTTGCTAAAAAATTTACTCACCCCCATGTCATCCAAGATGTCCATGTCATTCTTTCTTCAGTCGAAAAGAAATGAAGGTTTTTGATGAAAACATTCCAGGAATTTCTCCATATAATGGACTTCATTGGGAACCAAACGGTTCAAAGTCCAAATGAGAGTTTCAGTGCAAACTGTTCAAAGGGCTTTAAACGACACCAGACGATGAATAAGGGTCTTATCTAGGACCCTTCGAGTCATGACTCTGAAAAAGATTTGTTCATTTTGATGAACGAGTTCGAACAGGAGAGTCACAAACGCTCATCACAGAACAGAGCAAGACGAGCATTTGAGCTTATAAAACTTAAACTTTTTCATTTATTTTTGAAATGAGCGATCATTTCGCTAGATAAGACCCTTATTCATGGTCTGGAATCGTTTAAAGCCCTTTGAAGCTGCACTGAAACTGTCTTTTGGACCTTGAACCGTTTGGTTCCCAATGAAGTCCATTATATGGAGAAAAATCCTGGAATGTTTTCATCAAAAACCTTAATTTCTTTTCGACTGAAGAAAGAAAAACATGGACATCTTGGATGACATGGGGGTGAGTAAATGTGAATTTTTGTGAATGTAAAAAGTTGTGAAATATATGCATGTGTAACAGTATATTGAATGCTTGCTTGGTCCTAAAGTGACAGCACCCTAAATAAGGGGGGAATTACAATACTTAGCATTCAGGCATTCAGTCATGTGACGTTATGTTATCTGTGTGGAGGAACATCTGGGACAGTTGCATGCAGTTTGTTCTTATTATTAAAACAAATAGAAAGCAAACAAATAGCATTAACATTCATTTTAGTTCATATATACAATGAGATTTGTATTCTTATTTGACGTGTACGTAGACTTTCATGGAACATTAGGTCATGAATGTTGCCGCAAAAGTCATGGAAATGTATTGGTAAAGACGTGTATGAACCCTGGTCTTTGTATGTTTTATCAGTTTGAAATGGGGAGTGTGAAGATTCCTGGCATGCTCATTATTGACACACCTGGACACGAGTCTTTCAGGTACACACTATCCTTTTTTGAGTGTGTGTGTGTGTGTGTACGCCATGTAAAAGTGATAGAATATATATATGAAGAGTTCAGATGCAAAAGCCTCTAAGTGCCATTTGAAATTTTCTTCTAAAATGATTATTTTTATCAAGCTTGTATATTTAAGTTCAGTGATTTCACTTAAATGGCAATGATAATTACATATTAATTGTCATTTAAGTGAAATTACTGAACATATATATACAAGCTTCATAAAAACGGTCATTTTAGAAGAAAATTTCAAATGGCATTTAGAGGCTTTTGCATCTGAACTCTTCATATATTTATATGTCTTTATATATATACAAAATATATTACACACACATATTATATTATGTAAAGACAAACTTTTATTTTGGATGTGAATAATCGTTGCTCAGTCCTATTTTTTATTAATGAAAATTATAAATATTAACTTGAAATTAATATGAACTTTATAGTACATGTATATTTAATGGCACTCTGCTCCACCCTTCAGTAATCTGAGGAACAGGGGTAGTTCTCTGTGTGACATCGCCATCCTGGTGGTGGACATCATGCACGGTTTAGAGCCGCAGACACTCGAGTCCATCAACCTGCTGAAGGAGAAGAAATGCCCCTTCATAGTAGCACTTAACAAGGTACCAGATGGTGACTACTGAATGCTGATACTGATCATTACAACAACTATTTGAATGCTAATGCTTCTTTGTCAGATCGACCGTCTCTATGACTGGAAAAAGAGTCCGGAAACAGACGTGGTGGCCACACTGAAGAAACAGAAGAAGAACACCAAGGATGAGTTTGATGAGAGGGCTAAAGCGGTCATCGTAGAGTTCGCACAGCAGGTCTGTGGTCTCATTAATGCTGTTTCTTGTTGACTTCGACATGTATGAGAGGTGAGCTTAACTTAAATGTTGTCTTGTGTGTCTTTCAATCTTCAGGGTCTTAATGCCGCCCTGTTCTACGAGAACAAAGATCCTCGTACGTTTGTGTCCCTGGTTCCCACCTCGGCCCACTCGGGTGATGGGATGGGGAACCTCATCGCCCTGCTGGTTGAGCTCACTCAAACCATGCTGGCCCGCCGACTGGCTCACTGTGACGAACTTCGGGCACAGGTCATGGAGGTGAGAGGTCAAAGGAAAAGCTTTCATGAGTTGATTGTGACATTACATTTAGATTTGACCACTTTCCTTTAACACGTTTTTTGCAGCATTGAGCATTATAACCAATCGCACATTTCTGTTGAGTATATGAACGCAATGGCCAATCAGAGGCATTTAGATTTGAAAATGCTTTATAACTGTGATTAAACAACTAAGTGCAGATACGATGCAAGTTGATTTATTCTGCAGTGTAGAAGGTTTACATTATTATAGCGGTTATATTTCAGAGTGCGACTGAAATCATGGGCTGCTTCAGTGATTATGTTCTTTGCTTGGTTTCTGTATATAGACCATTTCACAAGATGTAAACAACACTGGTCCAGAAGCACTTCCTGTTTCCGTTTTTTAACACTACATAAAAGCTGGGATAAAATACAACCAACAGAACATTTAAAACTGAATCAAAAAGTTAAACAGACATCTTTAAGATGTTTTCTTTACATGTGAAATAAAGAAAACAGTTACAAACTGAAACAGGAAGTGCTTCTGCACCAGTGTAGTTTACATCTTGTGAAATGGTCTATAATTTATTCCAAGTTTGACAAGCCATTTTGTTTTTCATGCTACTAAAATATCCAATGAGAAGTCTTTATTTTCTTATGTGCTAACATTTCTTATGTGTTAAAATATGATGAACCTTTCCCCAAACACAAAACTTTTTTTTTTAATATATTTTATTAACCGACATTAATTTTCTTGATTGCAATATCAAGAGTAATGATCAACAACAATGATTTTTGTCATAATATTGTAATTGCTGTGCAATGTCCACCACAGACCAATGAGAGAGCTTTTTTTCAGAAATTTTTGCCAAAATGAACTCCAAACAAACTTGTTTTTTTGGCCTGATTTTGTTTAAAATGATGTCACACCAGTTCTAACTTTGATTTCGCTTGTATTCTATCTTTACCTTTGCAGTTTTAAGGCCTGTTCACACCGGGACGAATTTCGCACGTGATATTCGCCGACGTTTAACGCCTCGTGACTAAACAAAGGGCACCAATGTGAGTGTGCACATCGACGCGGAAAACGGCTCGCGTAAAAGCGCCATTGTTTAAAAACGCCTCGGGTTCGTTTTTTCGGTTTGACGCGCCGCGTCAAAAACTATCCAACCAATGAGATTGGAGCTTTTGCTCACGTGTCTGGAGCTTCTGCAGTTACAGTAAAACACAACTTGGGGGCGCCTCGGGTTCGTTTTTTTTGTTTGACGCGCCGTGTCAAAAACTATCCGACCAATGAGATTGGCGCTTTTGCTCGCGTGTTTGGAGCTTCTGCAGATACAGTAAAACACAACTTGGGGGCGCTCAAACACAAAACGGCGAAGAAGATATACGGCAAGTAGTGTCGCCGTCTACACTGCCAAGAAGAAATAAGACAAGGAAGATGCAAGGCAAGGTGAATGTAGATCTGCTGGTGTTGGAACATAAAGAACGATATGACAAACGCGATAGCGACTACAAACATCTTGATAAAGGAGAACTGTTATGGTGTGGTATTGCAGAGCAAATGGGCGCCATCTAATGTCAGGGAAGGAATTTGCATGTTCACTCGACTCGTCAGCGAAAATCACTTTGGTGTGGACATGAAAAATGCTGGCGAATAACGCTCGTGTTTTTTGTTGTTGTTGATCATTTTATTGGTAACTGGCTATACTATAGTATTCTGATTGATTTAAGCAATTGTGTTGTCTTGTGTCAAATATGTAAATTTAATCAAGTAAACTAAACATTGCCCTTATAAAGGAAAAAAAGCAAATATTTGCCACTTTAATTTCTGTGTTTGGGATTTTTTAATATATTTTTTTCACCCATGGATCCAAGCTGTAATATAACCTATGAGGTCCATTTCCTATATCTCAGGTCAAAGCTCTGCCTGGCATGGGTACGACGATAGACGTGATCCTGATCAATGGTTGTCTGCGGGAGGGTGAGACCATTATCGTCCCTGGTGTGGATGGACCAATCGTCACTCAGATCAGAGGGTTGCTCCTCCCTCCACCCCTGAAAGAGCTCCGAGTGAAGGTCTCATGCCCAATATTTCATTCGCCATATCTGTAATGTTGCGATAGAGCTTGTCTCACTTCATCACATGGTATTATGTTTCATCTCTCTGTGTACAGAATTCGTATGAGAAGCATAAAGAAGTGTCCACGGCTCAGGGAGTGAAGATCCTGGGGAAAGATCTGGAGAAGACGCTGGCAGGTCTGCCTCTCCTCGTCGCTCATAAAGAGGATGAAATTCCAGTCCTGAGGGTAACCATGTTCTTCTACAAACCAATCAGTTGTGTCCCTTTCAGAACACGCTGTGTTTTTCTTTCTCTTTCTTTCCTCTTTTCTCGCACATAAAATAATCAAGTCAGTAATAGAGCCAGACCGATATATCGGCAGGCCGATATTATCGGCCGATTTTAGGCATTTTCCAAACTATCGGTATCGGCAGTTATAATGGCCGATAAATGAATATTTCAAAAATAAAATAAAAACGGACGAAACACGCTTCAACCATGTCATGAGTGTTGTAGTTGTAAAGTTTGTCCACCGGAGGGCACTCTACACAGTCCCTGTTGGCAACATTCGTTGAGTTGGTCACGAGACATACATCCCAGTATTTCTTTAATAGCGCGTGACCGTTATAGCAATGAGACGCATCATCTCTCCTTGGCCTGTTATATTGAAAATGTATGTTTTACAATTTGCAGTATGATGATATCCATTGCTAAATTATGGCTCATCATATAGACTAGCTAACCACAAAGCTAGCTAATGCTGTTGTGACAATAAAAGAAACAAGTTTCTTTTTAAAATGTATTATCATATTATTTTAGTTAAAACTCATAAATAACCACAAATAACTAATGTTAGGGAAATCTGTTAATGTTTTGTTGCACGTTTCTGAAAAAAAAAAAATATCGGCCGATATATCGGAATATCGGATTTTAAAATTGTATCGGCCTTCAAAATTCTTTATCGGTCGGGCTCTAGTCAGTAATAACTGTTTGTGAGCTTTCCTGCATCCTGAAGTTTGCTCTTTGTAGGACGAGTTGATCCGGGAGCTGAAACAGACTCTGAATGCCATAAAGCTGGAGGAGAAGGGTGTGTATGTGCAGGCCTCCACGCTCGGCTCTCTCGAGGCTCTACTGGAGTACTTGCGTACATCCAAAGTGCCTGTAAGTCTTCAAACTCCTCACACACTCTCGGAAAACCCTTTTTAATGAATCAGTTATTGAAGAACTTGCTTGGATTTATTATGTTTTTGCGATGCATGTTGTATCTAAGCTTTGCATTTACAAAACTAGGCAGGATGAACACAGTTGTCTTTTCATTATTCTTTGTATGGCTATTTTTGCTGTCAACTTGCCTCTTTAGACTCTTTGATAGTGGCATTTCCTCTCACCAGCTAGCTTAAATGTGCTGTAGTGTTTCAGTTGTTTGCATTTCCACTTTCTGTCCTTCAGTATGCTGGCATCAACATTGGTCCCGTCCACAAGAAAGACGTCATGAAAGCCTCTACTATGTTGGAGCATGATCCACAGTATGTATTCTGAGTAATACATAATTTATCTCCTATTATGAGATTATATCATGCTAATCGTTATCTCTCTTTCTGTAGGTATGCAGTGATCCTGGCGTTCGACGTGAAAATCGAGCGAGATTCTCAGGAGATGGCGGACAGTCTCGGCGTGCGCATTTTCAGCGCTGAGATCATCTACCATCTGTTTGACGCCTTCACCAAATACAGAGAAGACTACAAGAAACAGAAACAGGATGAGTTCAAGTGCGTTATCCACTGCCCTCATCCTCTCCCTTTTTTTTCTCAACTTAACAGCGATATACACTACACGTACACTTTTAGTTCATACTAAAAATTAAGACTTTTATTCAGCACGAGTGCATTAAATCGATAAATGGTGGCATTTATAATGTTACAAAAGATTTCCTTTTCAAATAAATGCTGTTTACTGCATAATGTTTTTGTGGAAACTGATATAATTCCTTGTTAAATAAAAATAGACAGTTATATCTATATCAAAATTTGGGATGCACGATATATCGGCCAAAATATCGGTATCGGCCGATATATGTTCATTTTTAATGTTATCGTTATCGGCCTGGTAAGAAAATGTGGCCGATATGTTAAAGCCGAGAAATAATGTATTATTCCCTTCAGCTGAGACACTTGTTGAGAACTGTTTATGTTTTTGAATTTCTTGAAATATGATTGAAATCTCTTCAAAAAATGAAAATCTGGTTCGGGGAACAAGATGTGCAACGCAAATCTGTCTTATCGGCTGAGAACATCATTATAATTGTGCGCTTGGGACATGGATTTAATTGTGAGACTTTTGTTTTTGTAATCAGGCTCTCAATATTAGATAAAAAATTTGGATTTAAGTTTATCGGCCGATATATCGGTTATCGGTTATACAAAAAAATGTTTCTTAAGCAACAAATCAGCATGATTTCTGAATGATCATGCAGAATCAATTATGCAGAAAATTCACAGAAATTAAATTTTAAAATACATTGTTTAAAATGTTAGTCATTTTTCACAATATTACCGTTTTCACAGCCTTGGTGAGCAAAATAGACTTTTTCAGAAATATGAATCTAACTGAGCCCATAGTTGTGTACGTTTAGCATTTATTAAGCCTAGATTCTTAAAGTCTGTGTCAAAGTTGTTCCTTTTGAAAAACAGATAATTTTCCCTGAATGTTTGCGGTCTGAATATTTGAAAGTTTCTCTCGTTTTCAGACAATTAGCCGTGTTTCCCTGTAAGCTGCGTATATTGCCCCAGTTCATCTTCAACTCCAGAGATCCCATCGTCATGGGCGTCATTGTGGACGCTGGAGTTCTGCGAACAGGCACTCCGGTGTGTGTGCCCACCAAAGGGGTGAGACATTTAGACTGTTGACACAATATATGCTCAATAAATAAAGAAGCAGAGAAACTGCTTTCCTCCAAGATTTAGCCGTTTATTTTACGGTAAAAATGTAATTTGTAGTGCTATTGTTTGCATTAATTTTTCTCTCCTTCTCAGTTTGTAGACATTGGTATTGTGACCGGTATTGAAATAAATCACAAATCTGTAGACATCGCTAAGAAAGGACAGGAGATCTGTGTGAAAATTGAACCAATTCCTGGAGAATCACCCAAGATGTTCGGCCGACACTTTGAGGCTGTAGACCTCATTGTTAGCAAGGTAAGCTCTCTCCTACATCCCGAAATAAAGCCACTGGAGCCCATGTGATGCTAAGACATTAGTGTTGTTATTGTTGACCCTTTTCCCACCAACATTACAAAAAAAAAAAAGAGAGACCAGCCACCGCCAGCGTTTTTGATCATTTTCATAATTTCATGGCCTCCAGTATACTTTTTCCAAGACAAAATTAGGAGCCTTTAAAATGGTATATTAGGAAATAGTATAGAAATATTACTAAAATAGTGTCTGTATTCAATCTGCTGCCCCCTTAAAGGGATAGTTCACTTTGAAATGATGTAGGTGTCTTAGTTTCCAAAGAAGTTTCGATTTTGATATTTTTAGGTCAAACCGTTCATGTCTGTCAGTCATTTAATGCAGGTCTATGGTCACCACCTCAAAGAGCATGCACAGAGAAGTCCAAATTAAACATGATTTAATGACTCGTAAATGTAAGTATACATTGATGGCCTAAGACACGAAACGAGCGGTTTGTGTGAGAAAAACCATAGCCATGTCCAAGTCATCTGAGGGCGAGGGTGCTTTTGTGGCTACAAGAGGTAAAAACGATATAAATACTGTTCGTTTTCTCACACAAACCGCTCGTTTCGTGTCTTAGGCCATCAATGTGTACTTGCATTTACGAGTCATTAAATCATGTTTAGTTTGGACTTCTCTGTGCATGCTCTTTGAGGTGGTGACCATAGACCTCCATTATATGACTGATGTACACGAACGGTTTGACCTAAAAAATATAAAAATTGAAAATACCGCGGAAAAAAAGACACCTACATCTCGGATGCCCTTGAGGTAAGCTAAAACATACCAAAAATTAATTTCAAAGTGAACTATCCCTTTAAACGTGATTGTTATTGATTATCTAATGCACATTTGTTCCTGTATCTCTTGTAGATCACCCGTCAGTCAATCGACACTCTGAAGAACTGGTTCAGAGACGAGATGCAGAAATCAGACTGGCAGTTAATCATGGAACTGAAGAAAACCTTTGAAATCATCTGAACACACAAGTGACTGACTGATTCTAGATCTCAAAACGACCCCCGTGCACACATACGAACACTATACGTTGTACACTCCTAAAGGTCACGTGATTATGGAGTCATCAGTGTTGCTCATACATTTAAGGACATTCGTACTCAGACACTCAGCCTTGCACAGTCCCGTATCGAGGACTTGTTCCTCGTGTGTGCATGGGAGAAAACTCATCACTACCCTTTTCCTCCAGCTGTTTTTGTGTGGTGGGGAGTGTTGGAGGCCAAAAAAAAAGGAAAAAATAAAGCAAGGAAAAAAAAATGTTTTTCTGTGAGAAACTGAAACTATTACCACTGTTTTAAACAGTGACAAATGTTAGAAAATGTTAGACAACCTTTACAATTATTCCAAATGTGCCTGTTCTCTTTGATCGATCCAGTTTTTTTTTTTTTTTTCACCATCTCAAAGTTCACTGTATGGCTGGATTAAACTTGAGCTGCTGATTTGGCCCTGAGGTCTGACCTTAGATTTAGGCTGAGGTTTAAATCGATTGGTAAAAGTTGAAGACTGTGTGGCTTTCCTGAATGACTGCTGGAGATTACACCAGGATTTTAGATCTATACATATAAGAAACAGTCACCTTATCAGTATTTTCATTTTACCCTGCTTTTTCCATTCCTTTTTGGAGTACAGTTCTTAAATGGACCTTTTTAAAACGATTCCCCTCCAGCCAGAGATTGACTCTCTCCTCCTCTTCCTCTCTTGGGTGTGTGAACTTGGATGAAAGGCTCTTCCCTTAATCAGTTTGAATATGTAATTTCAGAGATTGATATGTGAAATTGACAACAATAAAGAGATGGCCTATTTATAGACATTGTTGTCCTTTTGTTTTGCTTTTGGTGGTAATGGATGCACAGGTGAAACTTACAAAATGTCATAAAATTAAATGGGTTTTAGATTATATTTTGCTTAAAGGACAAAAAGAGCGCTTTTTATCTGAGGACAACAAAGATTTGTGACATTATTTTTTCCCCCAAAAATGTCAATAACCAGTTGTAATGTGGAAAAGGTGGAATAAAATTTAAAGTATACATCATGATAGTGTTTGTTGTAGGCTGCTTAATTTATACTTATATTACATATTACTTTTATATTATATTACATTAAAAAATACCAATTACACTATATATACAAAAAAATATATATATATATATATCTGGCGAAACGATCGCTCATTTAAAAAAAATTACAAAGTTTAAGTTTTATAAGCACAAATGCACGTCGCACGTTTGTGACTCTGCTGTTCAAACTCGTTTATCAAAATGAACGAATCTTTTTCCGAGTCAATTGGTTCGTTTCATTCGTTGAATGAAAATGACTCGAAAAAAAGATTCGTTCATTTTGATAAACGAGTTTGAACAGGAGAGTCACAAACGTTCGACGACCATTTGTGCTTATAAAACTTAAACTTTGTTATTTATTTATTAAGTGAGCGATCGTTTCGCTTGATAAGACCCTTATTCGTCGTCTGGAATCGTTTAAAGCCCTTTGAACAGTTTGCAGTTTGCACTGTTTTGGACCTTGAACCGTTTGGTTCCCACTGAAGTGCATTATATGGGGAAAAATGCAGAATGTTTCATCAAAAACCTTAATTTCTTTTCGACTGAAGAAAGAAAGACACGGACATCTTGGATGACATGGGGGTGAGTAAATTATCAGCAAAAGTTTTTTTTTCAAAAGTGAACTAATTACTCCTTTCCAATCCGGTCATTGTGTCGGTGTCTATGAACAATTTAACCTTTTCGAGTCATTTCTGTGTTTTCAAAAATTTCAAAAATAATCTAAATAACTACCCAGACAGCAAACTGACATTGAATCAACGTGGAAACGACGTCGCTCATGACATTGAAACAACGTTGATTTTGCTCATCGAATTAACGTTGAACCAACGTCAGACGCGGCATTCTTCAAAGCTAAATGAAAATCGAAAATTGGTTTGCTTTCATAACGTTGAAACAACGTGTTGATTTCAAGTTGATTTTCCGTTAGTTTTGAAAGAATGACGCATCTGACGTTGGTTCAACGTTAATTCGATGAGAAAAACAATGTCAGATCAACGTTGTTTCGATGTCATATTTCCACGTTGATTCAATGTCAGTTTGCTATCTGGGTATATAAATGCTATGCTAACTAGATGCTAATATATGCTATCCTGATCGTTTTCAATACTCATAAATCCAACTCCTGACTCGCTACAGTAGTTTTGACGGAACCAGATGCTTTTATACCAGGGGCTGCCAAGGGCGTGGTGAGCTCGCACCAAGGGCGTGACAGAGTGGCGTCTGAGAGTTCCCTACGTCAGAAAGTACCCCTACTGCAGGAGCTTTCCGTTTAACCTGAAGAGGGCAGCACTCAGACGTTTTTACACCATATATTTGAAAATCAAAACACTTTATACTCAATTGTCAAAAAATGTACTCGAATCAATGAACAGCATTTATGAAGCTCCATTCTTACAGATCATTAACTAAAAAACGTTGTTTTGGTGTTTAGTTACCCTTTAAACATTTCGTACCATTCCAATAAAGTAAATAAATTATTTTTTAAAAGAGAAAGAAAGGTTTGGGAATCCGGCAGGGGGCGCTAGAGGCACATTTGGATTTTAACGGATTGATACTTGGCATCAGCGCCTTTTTTGAATAAATTTAGACGCATTGATCCGTCTTTTAGAACAAAGCGCTGACTTTTATGGAAGCAAGTGGTCTGTGGACAATACAAAATGGCTTCTGCTCAAGATTGTGTGACTAGTTTGTGTTTTCTCCTGTCTCCGTGTGATGAAAAAAAACATAATCTTTCATTCAGTATAGTGCTCCTGAAAGCCTAATATGTCAGTGAGTTTGTTTCTGAAGTCTTTCATGTATTCAGTGACCCAGGCTGCATGAACTGGGTGTCATGTGGCGGAAAACAATTGTGGGTTGTTGATTTTGGTTTAACACTAGCTGACATCCTGCCAGATGAAAAGAAGAGGCGAGGGAAACCGGACCTGCCAGATAACCCTAAACAAATCGTCATCCCAAACACATCCAGGGAAAAGGAGGGACCAGAGCCCTGGCTCCTAATGTCCTGCTGCTGCTGCTGCTGCTGCTGTGGACTAACATTATACGGGATTTCTGCTGTCATTTCATACAGCTTTCATATTCGCCTGCTTGTGGATTATCGCGTTTGGGCTTGAGACGCATGAGGTCATGAATTCGGCTGAACAGACCATCACATGGTTAATAACGCTGGGTGTCCTGGAATCACCCAAAAAGACACTATCGGATCCTGAAGGCTTTTTACAAGCATCTCTCAGAGATGGAGTGGTTTTGTGTAAACTACTGGAACGACTGCGACCCGGTACAGTTTATACGGTAAGCTGTTAATGTGCTCATGAAGTCCATGCAGTTTCATATTCGAGTAAATATTACACTAGTTACACTAAAGCACAGATGTGACACACACACACACACAGACCTTTGTATTTGTCTTCGCGCGCGCGTTTTGTGTTCACTGTACGCGCAATGTTGAACCAGTGTAAATTTGAACAATACAATACTACTGTTTTTATTATTATTTATATCAACTATGAGAAAAAGAAAGGGGATCAATAGAAAATATGCAAAGAAGCCTCTGCGGTGTCAAGAGATAACAGGAATAATGAACGCACGTGATCTGTGGCAGAAAATATATCAACGGAAATTAACCTTGGGATTCGTCCATACGAGTCGTCCGCCATTGACTCTGTCAGAGAGAGAGAGAGAGGCTATTGTTACCATACTATCTTATTATTATTGTCTCCAAATACTTAGTTACATACTAAAAGTTCGGATGTTCTAAACCATTTCTGTGTTGTTTTAATGCTTTGGCAATACAAAATGTATTTTTTGTCAGAGAGAGGAGAGAGGGGGTAAACGACGATGTCCGGTTTTGGGTTGGATCTTTTCAACGAATCGTTCACGAATCTGATTCTTTGAATCGAACCGTATAATTCGGTTCAAGAACTGATGAGTGAACAAATAATACATGCAAACATGTCTAAAATATTATTTCTAATTATTCCTATTTTTTCATTAACACGTGTCGGTGGTGGAACACTATTTATAATTAGACATTTTTAATTATAAAAAGAAATCTGCTAAGGATAATTGGAGATAACATTTGAGCACATTTGAACAATAATAAATTCTCGTTGAGCATCCTTATTTTTGCAGGTTATTTTTATTCACATATGATCTAAATGATTAAGTGGTTTTATTTAAATTAATAATTCACAAACGTTTTGTGAATTATATATCAACCACCCACAGCCTTGACAGACAGAGTGGTAAATCATGTATTCTGATTTATGAGCAATACAATTCGATGCTGACTTTGCGGTAATCGTATGACTTGTGATAAACTCTGGGAATATGTAATATTGCACTAAAATGTTCAGTTCTATTGTGGTATAAACAATATGTCGCATAGTTACAGGCAGAAGATAGACTTTGCTCTGACAGGTCGAGTAATGTTTGCCTGTGTCAACATGCCCCTCTCACTGAACCCAACAACCACAATCTAATAGAGTACGTCATTTCCGCTATTCCTCCGCCAACTTCCCTGTGGAGAATAAGTGGCTTTTTGCTGGAACGGGGCGATGATCTGTGATATAAACAAATGGCGTAATCGCATACGGTTTTGTTTACTTCTTGACAAAGCTCTTTAAAAGTACGTCTCGTGAGAGGATTGATCTGTTCGCTTCATTTTCAGATCTACCAGGACCCGAGGAAGGACGAGTGTTTGAGTAATATCAGAGAGTTTGTGAAAGGCTGTGCATTATATCAAGTGGAGGTGAGTGTTGCATGATGTTTGCGCTTCTGTTTTAGTCATTTCATTTGCATGGTCTCATGTATATTTCTGTTATTGATTCAGTCACTTTGTGTGGTTTGAAGTAAAGCCGGTCGCCAGTCTCAGTTGTAGTTGAGAGCAGACTAATCCTGTGTGTTTTGGTTTTAGAGTTATTACTACCTCGGTTACAGTGGTATTTAGTGTTATTGTGGTATCTTGACTCATTTGTGACCATGACAAGACCTTAAATGATTTATGCAACATTGCATTATGTTCTTTCTGCAGAGCAATGTCTCATTTGTAGATGTACTTTTGGATTTACAGACTGAACAGTCAAGCTGTTGAAGACAGATTTAATTAAATATAAATATTGAATAAAAATCTGTAATAAATGATTTAAAAGTGCAGAGTGACCAGCAGTTTGCAAGTACTCACGTGAATGAGAATTAATTGAGTTGAAATTACACACAAATGTGACAGTAAATAAACAGCAAGTATTTCAAGAAAAATAATGTGCATGCCTTAGTTTATTCACAATATGCTGATTTACCTGTACATATGAAATATTCCAATAGCATTTTCACTCTTTTTTTCAGAATAAAGCAGAATGTGGACCTTAATCGGAAAATTATGTGCTTGTAAATCAAGTCACTTTGATTTGGATAGCACTTTTCTTCATACACATTGTTTCAGAGCAGTTTTACAGAATATCATGATACCTTCATACCTTTATAGTCCGATTCAACTAGGGCTGTGAAACGATTAATCGCGATTAATCGCATCCAAAATAAAAGTTTGTGTTTACATAATATATGTGTGTGTAATGTGTATAATTATTTTTTATATATAAATACACACACATGTATATGTATATTTAAGAAATATTTCTATTTATATTTATACAAAATTTATATTATACATAAATATAAATATTTGATGTATTAATAACACATTTTTCTTTAATGTATACATTCATGTGTGTGTATATATATATATACAAAATAATTATACACACTACACACATATAGCTTATTATGTTACACAAACTTTTATTTTGGATGCGATTAATCGTGATTAATCGTTTCACAGCCCTAGAGTCAACAGATAATGTAGTTTACATTTTGTAACAATACAAACAATCAAGGAGTATATTGCTTTACGTCAGTATACTGTAACTTAAACTTAAAACATATTGCTGTCTGATAATGTACATGCAACCAAATAAACAATCAAGCTGTAGCTTTACTTGATTGTGCTGTATTTATGCAGATCCAATTGGTTGTATATCCAATTTTTTGTAGAGCTGTGCAATATTATACTTTACATTTTGAAATGGAAACGAATTACATTCGTAAATGTCCAATTTTTATCTGTTTTTAAAATTTCATAATGAACGCATTAATTTCCCTTCAGTAATTTACAGGGTGTAGCCAATTGTTAATGGGTGTTACTTCTGGCAATTCTCAATGCCAGGTAAAAATTTGTCCAGACCTGCTTATCAAGATAAGGGCTGTGCTGAAAATTGCAGTGTATTGTAACAAAAATATCAGTGTTGATGATATACTATAACAGTTCTTATGTTTGTAAACATGGCATTCTGGGAGCTCATTCTTCATGCTAATCCACTAGGTGTTGGTGTTAGATTGGATCAGATCCCTCACCCACACACACTGTTATTTTATTGGATTTTGAAGCACTGCTGTTGTTGAACCTATTTTTATTGCTGAATGTTGGATTGAGATCCAGCTCTGCCCATTTTTCCTGCAGCCTCTCTTTGTCTGTACAGGCGGCTGCACGTCTTTTCTTGAAAAAGCGTGCCATACAGAGCACAGTATGCAGCCATAAATTATTCACATTACAGTCCAATCACATGACCTTTGATTTATTGCAATGCCCAAAGTCTTGCACTGGCTATGTAATGCATTTCTTTCAGATATAATATGGTAGCATGTTAGTTCCATGACGTTTTTCTCTGTCAGTAAAAGCTGTTTTGAATGTAACACTATGGAGGCAGTGTTTTTAGGAAAGCCGACAGTAATTTTTCTTCAAAAACTCTTCTGTCTTTGCTAAGTCTCGTTCACACCAAGAACGATAACTATATTAGTGTCCACACACCAGAGGAGATAATTAAATAATTTAATTATTTCGTCCATTAGATCGAAAGATCTGAAAAAGCTTTACATTGGCAATAAACACGACTGGAGACGGTGAAAAATATACGTAGAGCATTAGCTTTTGTCTCAGTCCGAACGCCGTGAGTTTGTGTTAGAAATCATGGTGAGAGAACATTGTGCTTGGTACGTTTTTTCGTCTTCAAACCAAACTGGTTTTCGTCTGACTAACGTGCATCTTACCAAAATTCCAGTAGTTGGTACCGTTACCATTAAAGGGGTCATGAACTGTCTTTTTAAATTTTATTATATTGTTGTCTGAGGTCAACTTATGACGTTCGCTTGGTTTTTGCTTTCAAAAACATCAAAATGAATAAGTAATCGGCTATTTTCTACCCTAGTTTTGAGCCTAGCTGAAAAACGCTTGGTTTTTATGGGCGTCTCGCATTAAAGACTTGGAAGTAAACGCCCACTGCTGTGAGTGGATAACAGTTTTGCATATCATGAGTTTCGACTTACTCGTCGGTGCACTTGGGGGAAATTGTTTTGAAAAGGTCCAATGTTGTAAAATGGCAACCGGAATGATTCGCCCATACATGTTCGACCCAGAGTCCGTGCGTTGGACAATTCCTGTCAGATCCAATATAGACGGCACAGCACCGTTCTTTACTCTTAATCGGTCTGCAAATCCAGTCTTGTTTACAAAACAATCCTTAGTAAAATGAAGCGAACAGACGAACAATGTTTTACCCTAATCAGCTGGAACGTCATTAAAAATAAAGTTTACCCATGCAGTCCTATTGGAATCCAGAGGAAGCTTATGCAGCGACTGTCTTGCACAACCAGGCACTGCATAATATTTATTGCTCGGTAGCTCGATTTGTTTGTCAATGTAATTTAGCTATGCGTGTAATGCGCGAATCGGTGGGCGGGGCTAAACCGGCCGTGTTGAACTAGCCCTTGATCTTCTTCATCTGCGGGGGTGGTGTTTTATCCTCTTTGACGTCATTGTTCCCCACTTTGAAAAACGAGTCGTTTGCTGAGGCTGGTGTAAATAAAAGCTTTTATTGGACCAACAAGGACGTTTTCAGTTCTGAAACTTACAGGATATTCTTATAATATGATGACCTCTTTGGAAAATTTGATTTCTCAGTTCATCACCCCTTTAAAATTTTAGTTATTATCGGCCTTTCATGTTTGGCAGCGAGATCGTGTAACTGAGATTTTTCAGCAAACTGCGTATGTTGCTGTGTGTGCCATTAGTTTCTCTATATGAGTGTTGTTGTGTTGAATGGCTCTGTGTGTGTGTAACTGCGTGTTTCATGAGTGCCAGTGTCTTCGGTTCTTCTAGCCAGCTGTGAGAGGTTCAGACAAGCCCTCTATTGTGGTGAATGGAGTTGTGTGTTTGAATGGGCAGAGCTGCCAGCTCATTAATGGTGTTGTGGGGTTTGGCACAGGCCGAAATGAAGAGAAGCACTCCACTAAAACTACTTTTTCAAATGGTGTGGCTGGTTTAAGAAGAAAGAGCAGGAGGAAATTGAATTCCACTACAGTGATGGCAGATGATGTAATGTAGACTCAGATGTGTGTGATTGTTGATGGAGCTTGAGTGTTGGGGATTCATTGGACTTTAGGCTTGTATAAGTACTGAATGTTAATGAAATGTCTTTGTCCTTTTTTTTGAGAGAGAGAGAGGTTCACCCAATCAATTTGAGCATATTAACACATTTCTTAATTAAGTGATATGAACTGATGAACGAAACTTAATCCTGATAAATTCATCCAAAATGTTAAATAACTGTAAACCGTTTTTAGATTGCTACGTTCCCATGGAGCAAAATTGTCAAATTTAGTTCTCAAAAGTTTGAGGTTGGTGAGATTTAAAAAAATATATTTTGTTTAGGGGTGTAACTACTGTATTCCCTCATGTCACAATTCGCTACATATCACGATAGTGAACTCACGATACAATATTATTATTATGGTAAAAGGTTAACAAAAACTGTACTGTCGATGATAAAAATGCTAACTTTGATATTACATTGAAAGTTTAAATGAATAGGTTTGGACTTGGTGCTTGTAACCCACGGACAATAATGACACCAGAATAACAATATTCATGATTCTGAGTTATTGTAGATGAATATGCTTGCACTCTGTCACTGACTAGATATATTTAAAATAATGTCGGCCACTTTTTACTGGTAACATCAGGCATTTGTCATTATCAGGACCCAGAAATATTCCCACATTGCATTATTATACATTATAATCAACATTATATTGTAGTTTAATGTAGTACTACTTGCACTAAAACTCTGAAAACTAGATTTTTTTTTCACACAGTAATTTTTATTTTGGGGGACCATCCACGATACATATTGTTGCATTTTTGTATTGCGATATATTGTGGCAACCCTAATAATATATATGTTTGTGTGTAATAACAATTTCTATTTAAATATATTTTAATATGTAATTCAGACCTCCTGTGATGCAAAGCTAAATTTTTAGCATCAATTCTCCAGTCTTCAGTGTCACATGATCCTTCAGAACTCATACTAATATGATGATTTGATGCTCGAGAAACATTTCTTATTATTATCGTTCTTGAAAACAGTTGTGCTGCTTAATATTTTTATGGAAACCATGATACATCTTTTCAAGATCCTTTTATAAATAGAAAGTTTGAAAGAACATTATTCATTCGAAATGGAAATCTTTCTTTTTTCTATTAGAAATCTAATAGAAATTTTTTTTTAATTGAATGTGTCTTTGCAGAATAAAATTATTATTACTGACCCCAAACTTTTAAAGTGTATTCGTTTTATGAAATTAAACATAATCTCTACAATCAATTCAATTCAAATTTATTTGTATAGTGCTTTTCACAATACATATTGTTTCAAAGCAGCTTTACAGAAAGTGCATTTCAGAAATGTTCATGGAAAAATACATTTTTTTTATTTAGGGCATAACATATCACCGGCGTTGAGCTATGCCCTAAGTTACGCCGGCGTTGAGTTTTACTTTTTCAGGAAGTAAAAATGTTGTGATAAAGTTACAGGTTACTTTTAAGACAAATTAACCCAAATTACATTCCTAATACATGCTAAAAATATCAATCAAGTGTTTGATTGTTGTCTTGCATAGAAATATATAAGTAAAATGGGTTTCAAACAGCATTTAAAAAAAACAACATTTTTAATATCAAAATATCCTATCTGGGCAGTGAAGTAAAGCATTCATAGGTTGATTTTACCAAAATGTATGGTTCCCTAAATTTTAACAATCATAGTGAAATCCAAACAAGCCGATCAAACAGGAAACATTTTCTGTGTGGACATAGATCAAGGACCCCATTCTTATTACCTTGTATCTTTTGAAGATTTAAAGTCAAGCTGGTGTCGGATCAGGCCAGTTTTGGGGCAGTTAATTTAGCTTGGGATGAGCTGTCCAGATGGCCCAAAGAGCAGCAGGTAGTCTGAGAGCCAGAAACCCTCACACAAACATTGAGCTTAGCAAAATCACCTTCCCTTCTCATATAGCAAACACATTTGAGTGCGATTCTTTGTTCATCATAATTGTTTGTAAGTTTCTGTAACTTGTGTTTTACTTGGGAAAAAGGAAATTAAATTCTGCACAATATGCACATGCTTTTATGAATGTTACTGTTCTGCTGTTTTGCATAAGGCCTCCGCATTTCCATATGTAGCATTACAATCCACCGTCTGCTTAAATTATTGCATTTCCTTTAGGATAAGATTATCAGCATGACCTAAACGTAGCAGATTCTGTACTTTCATTCACGTCATATTTGAGCTGCTGATGTGTTTTTGTTTTTAGCATATGTAATCGTGGCATTTTTCCCTCTGCAGGTGTTTGAGGCCAATGACTTGTTTCAGGGCCAGAACTTCTCCAAGGTCTTGAATTGTTTGGTTGCACTGAACAAAGCAACTTCAGGTGAGGTGTGTGTGTGTGTGTGTGTATGTGTGTGCTTAACCATATTTTTGGGACAAATTTGCAAACTTCCTTTGAGAATGTACTAGGAAGGCACCGATATGAAAATTTTGGCCTTTACTGATAACTGATAATTCTTTCTGTTACGGTTAGAGATTTAACTAGAAACAATACATATCTTTGGAATATCCCTATTTAAATATGTTGATAATTTATTCTCTGGTTGTAGAGTCCGGTGGTGGGAGTAATTCTGTGTGTTCTCGTCACTCGTCCTCTCTGCGAATCAAGTCCTTTGACTCGTTCAACTGTTCGTCCAATAACAGGAGATCATCCAGACACAAGAACAACCAGTACCGCAGTCTGGTGAGAATCACAACCTCTCCACACCCTTATAAAGAATAAAATGCCTTTTCTATGCACCTGGAAAACAGACTGAAATTATTTTAAGAATGATTGTCAAAGGTACTGGTCCACTTAGAGTGGAAAAACCACATTGTACGCCAGCAAATTGAAACCTCACACAAATACGCTGAATGAGAAACTGTTGAAAATGCTCTCCGTGTTTTCTCTCTAGGACATGTCTGAAAACAGTGTCCCTCAGGTGCTGGTGAAAGCTAAGTTCAACTTCCAGCAGACCAATGAGGATGAGTTGTCCTTCAGCAAGGGTGACATCATCCAGGTGATGCGGCAGGAAGATGGCGGCTGGTGGGAGGGGTCTTTCAATGGCAAGAGTGGCTGGTTTCCTAGCAACTATGTCAAAGAGATCAAAGGCTCTGGTTAGTATTTGCCACTTTTAAAAGTTTTAGTTACAGAAGTTGAACCCTGAAAAATTTAGGGCTGTATGATTTCCGCGATCACGGAATTGCGGAATTGGCAAATTTACGTGGAATTTCGTGGAATTTTACATATTTGGTTTGAAATTCTGTTTTTGTGTGGGAGAAGAACGTATGTCTGGTGAAAATGCAGACCGGGGGAAGCAAATCTGGGCGACACAACCCCCACGCCCAGCATTTCAGCTCTAATGACGAAATCAAAACAATGAAAGCATGACGAAGCGGTTCTCCACGGCTTTCGTCGGCAAAAAAGTTAAGAAGCTCGAGCCGAGCAGTTCGCACTTGACTTTTACGCAGTTTTTCCCACACTTAGACTAATTCGCCGCCACATATTGCGTTTCGTTCATTTCTTTAACAATATTTAAAACACGCAGCGTATTCTTTCAGTTTTATTTCCTTTCCCCGCTCTCCCTCTGTCTCTCTCACACACACACAACGTGCACACCGCATCGGTCTATGAGGCACCGGACTGGACAAAAGTGAAGCGGACTGCCGTGAGTGAGAGAGAGACAGTCTGTGACTTTATTTAAACTAATATAATTTATTTTACTGGACAGTTTAAAGCTCATAACCATATTTTGTTGTTACTTGAAGAGTGCAGTGTTATGTTGCATCATGCAGTATTTGTCCTGAAAAGGCTACTGAGTAAATGTCTGTTACCTAAGGTCATACATTTTAATCATTAACTTTAAGAGCACACTCTTTTCATGACTAAAATAACAGTCATGGGTAAAAAAATGAATTCCCAAAAATTTAAACGGAAAAAACGCAATTTGGGAAAAAATAAAACAGATTTCAGAGGGTCCTACAAATTCTTGTAGAGGAAGACAACAGATATATGCTTTTGCAAGACAAGACAAGCAAAGTGAACTAGAGGGATTTGTCCTACTCATACTCCTCTCACCGTCTGCCAAGAAAAGCAGAAGAGATAATAAGGGAACTTTCAGAGACCTTTGTTGAACCCATTTATCTTTTTTCTGTGTCCTAGTGTTAGCGTAATATTTTCATAAAAGACCATATACATATATATATATATATATACACATGTGTATGTATATATATATATATATATATATATATATATATGTGTGTGTGTGTGTCTCATTTTTTTATTTGAAAACTCAACTCTACGAGGCACTACGAGTTGAGAATGTAAAATCTGTCCAGGTCCATGCCAATAAAAGGGTGATTAAAGAAGGACTTACAGGCTTAATGAAAATGTGCCAAAAGAGAACTGAATGGCGACGCTCTGCAAAAGCCAAAACTGTGGGATTATGTGACCATTACAGGCTTGCTTGGGGGAAATGTGTGCTCATCCATTCCATGTACAGGTGCTGGATACAGTGCAGCAACCTAAGAATAAAAAGAGTAGGACACTTCATCTGAAGACCCGATTGTCCCAAAATTACTCAAATTCTGCTGATCTAGTCGTGCTAGTACTTTAGATTTGACCTTTCCCTGCAAACATTTTCATCCCTATTGAAAATAGATTTGAAATCTATTTATATATGAAGAGTTCAGATGCAAAAGCCTCTAAATGCCATTTGAAATTTTCTTCTTTAATGATGATTTTTATCAAACTTGTATATTTAAGTTCAGTAATTTCACTTAAATGGCAATGATAATTACCTATTAATTGTTATTTAAGTGAAATTACTGAACTTAAATATACAAGTTTGATAAAAATCATCATTAAAGAAGAAAATTTCAAATGGCATTTAGAGGCTTTTGCATCTGAACTCTTCATATATATATATATATATATATATATATATATATATATATATATATATATATATATATATATACAGTAAAAGTAATATTATGACATTAATTTTTACAAATTTAAAAGAACTGTTTTCTATTTTAATGTATATTTAGCATTTAATATATTAGCATTTAATACTTAGTTACCAGATAGTTGAAAACTGACAACGTGCAGTGTTTCGTGTAAACAGAATTAGGAATTGGAGCATATATTTATCTATGGACTCGGCGCAGTAATATAATCACTCCGAGAGGACTTTTCACGAGTGATGATATTACTACGCCAAGTCGAAGTGCTCCCAAGCACTTGCTGTGGTATTGCGCCATACAATATAGTTATCCACTTTACACGCTTAGAAAAGCGCAGCGTTTTATTTTGTGTCACCGTCCTAGGTCGAGTTACACTGCTCGAGTCACTGTATTTAAATAGGGAAAACGTGGAGGTGTTTGGTCGCTTCTCTGCTTGGCCCATATTGAATGAACTGGGCTAGTTAAGTGCAATCAAAGTGTCTCACGCGCCAGAGCGATTGAGTGCACACACTGAGACGACAGAGGTATGTATCAACTCATCTTAGTTAAGGGAATAACATAATATGAAAAAACGGTGGAGTATCCCTTTAAATAACCACCTCAGTATATGCATGTTGTAGTATAAACAAAACCTATGACCCTCGCTCTCCAGTCCAAACATAAATAGCATATATACATCATGATGCCAAACAGATGCTTCCCTCGCATGTATGGGGAAATGGCCTTAATGTGTGTTCAGTCCAGCTTGAATGGAAATTGTTTAGGATGACATCAGAGTTTGAACATCCAGAGCCGAACAGGAAGGAAACACAATCTAACAACAAAGACCGGAAGTGCAGCGGCCAGAAGACACCATTTCCCTTTTCCTCTGAATATGGCTTCACACTCCAAACTCCTTTACTTGTGGTGAATACATCACTTGTAGACATTAACAGTGTATTGATTTTTTTATATTTAATCTTAGAATGACTTAAGAGTAGATGAATGGATGCTGACAAAATTGTAATTTTGGGTGAATTATTCCTTTAAATCTCTACCTCTATGTATGACCAGTTGAAAATGTGCCATTTTTAGTGCACATATTTCCCATCAATTTCCCAGGAAGTGGCGATTTTATTCTCTTGAACACATGGAATGGAAACTCTGCTTTATTCGTGAATGTTTTATGCTAAGTTTGGATGAAAACGTCGCTCTTGATCTGATTGTTCGCATTAGCAAACGCATGATGAGAAATGTTCAAGCTGATATTTTTGAGGATTCCTGGAAGTTCACACATTGTTACTGATATTAGTGTAAATGAACCATATGGATTGAAATGTTCAGACTGACGTGAGAGGTTTAAAGTTTCGAAATCTAATATTGCTGCTCTGACTGCTCACTGCAGGAGAGATGTACTTTAATATTCAATAACAGAAACAAAATGCTTCCAGATGTTGGTCTAAGGTGACCTTCTTACCTTTTGTTCTGTTTTTGCTCTCTTAAACAGACAAACCTGTGTCTCCCAAGTCTGGAACGCTGAAGAGTCCACCCAAGGGCCTTGAGACCACTAACTTTTGCAAGACTTACTATAATGTGGTAAGAGATGTGCATGTGACGCCTCCCATGTGGAACCAGTTGATTATTTGTGAGCAGAATATTGTATTGCAGCAGTATTTCCATAACCAAATAGGCAAGTACACCACCAACCCTGACTATACCTGACAGATAAGACTGAGGTTTAAAGATAAAAGATATTCGAAATTATGGAGGTTATCACAATGCGATTGTTATAGCTGCATTGAGTCATTTTAAAAGGGTCAGGTTTTTGGAGATTGTAACAGACTTGTTTACAGACAGTTTTAGCATCTAATACTTTTATAAAACATCCCTATGTCTGTTTAACTGGACTTCCCCATTGCACTGCACACCTAAAATGTTAGAACAGGATAATATGAGATGAATTATTTAAACTGGAGTGCAATCAACCTAAGTAAATACTATTTGCTAATCCTTCTCTTTCCATTCTTATTGACATTTACATCAATATGCCTTTAATACAGTAAATATATATGTGTTACCATTCAAACATTTGGGGTCAGTAAGATTTATTTTTATTTATTTGTTTTAAAGAAATTTATTATTTGATTCCGCAAGGATGCAGTAAATTGATTAAAAGTGGCAGTAAAGAAATTATAAATTTCTATTTCAAATAAATTATATTCTTTCTATCACTGTTTCCATTAAATATTAAGCAGCACAACTGTTTTCAACATTGATAATAAGAAGAAATGTTTCTTGAGCCTCAAATCAGAAAATTAGTCTGATTTCTGAAGGATCATGTGACACTGAAGAGTAATGATGCTGAAAATACAGCCTTAATAAATTAGGAATAATTTATATATATATATATATATATATATATATATATATACTGTATATATATAGAAAACAGTTCTATATTAAAGTGTAATAATATTTCAATTTCACAATATTACTGTTTTTAAAAAAATCCTACAGACCGCAAACTTTTGAATGGTGTTGAATTTTTTGAGTAACGTGCATAAAACAGTGTGTCGCGAGGATATTCGATGTGTGTACGGGTTATTTTGAAGCAGCGTTTTTGCTTTTCCCTTGACTAATCCTTGAATTTATAGTCATAAGGCTTTTATCTGGGTTTAAAAGCCTTGCCAACCCAGCGTTACTTAGAGTTAATAATCCAAGTTTAAACACCCGCCAGCAGATGCTACTCCGGGTTTAGTCTTGATTTATGTCATTATCTAAGAGAGACACAAGTTTACTTGTATCCTGACTGACAATTCAGCTAATGAATGTAATTTCAGGTCGTTTATATGTGTGTGTCGTTTCTTTTTTGTTCTCCATTTTCCTCCTGCGTCCCAGCAGCCTCCCTCTGAGCCTCTGCAAACCCAGTGAGCCGTTAATGTGTGTGTGTGTGTCAGGCTTTGCCTAAATTATGCGGACCAAATGCTACCATAAGTATTGCATAGCTTTACAGAAAATCGGGATGGCAATGTTTATAATATTTTATTATTTCCATGCCTTAATAGTCACATTTATCAGATTAGACATGGGTGTATTTTGTGATGATGCCAGCAATCAAGGAGTTGAGAAATGTTATATACTGTAGTATATATCACACTACTCAAGGAAATTGCATGTATGCGGATAAAGTTAGACATACTTACAGTAATAGCCAAAAGTGATGCATGCCAAAAGCCAAATTGTGCAGACATCATTTTTGGCCGGGCTGCCATAAAAAAAAAAAGAAATGAGCACCAACAAAATATGAATAATTAATTATGTTGTAGTCAAATTTGTTTTTTTGGTAACACCAAAATTTAAAGTTAGTTAATTCACTAACTACCTAACAAGAAGCAAGATATTAGTTATACTACTTACTTATTCATCTTTGTTAACAGTAGTTGTTAAAATAAAACCGTTATTTGTTCATTAACTAATGTTAAAGGTGCTATGTGTAGCTTTTCTTCTAAAATGAATCCTTTTTTCATTGCCTGTGTGTGAAGGGGTTGTAATCACACATTACAATGATCCACTATTGGGGTTTTGCTATTACCTCTGAAGGCGAGTATTCCTATTTCTATGTGAAGTCTCCGCGTCGTATTTTCTGCGAAACCGGAATCGGATGTGACGTTTTTATATACAGTCTATGCGAGTCTGATAACACCAAAAAACGACCTGCCACCAGCACAAAACACACTCCAACACAAACTCCACATAAATATAAAAACCAAAACAAAAATGATTCTGCTGAAGCACGTCAGGCCAAACGTGAATTGGATCGTCTTAGGACGAAAACGCGGATCAACATCGGCAGAGCGTTTGAATTATGGAGAGACCTCCGCTATTTCTATTGTGATAAATGACACGTTTTCAGATATGCTGAAATAATGGTAAACTGTAATGAAATAGCAAGGTAAACTACAACATATATAAGACATGAAATGAATACAACAGACTGTTCCAGGATAACAAAAAGTGCTTTAGGATGTAACTTTTATTTTATGTACTAGATCTACTGTCTAACGTCACTCATCCCACTACTATCATATTGTTTATAATACACATTTCCAGACACGTTTAGTACAGTAATGTTACTTCCTACGATCTTACGGTTACACTGAAATTGTTCAGTCTAGTTCACTAACCGTTTTCGTTATCATATTATACATTCACCTGTGTTGACATTGCTGCTTGTGAAAGATACACGAATAGTTAGTGAAATGCCTAAATAACGTTATCATGGTACGAGCATGGAGCATTAGTTCAACGTCAAGCTGATAAAAGTAGCCTATTATTGTAACGTTGCAGTGGGAGTTTACATGAGTTTCCAGCATGTTGTGTGATGCTTTCCGGTGTGTGTAAAGTCTCAGTGTGGCCGTGTACATCAGTGCTCGCTCTTGCGTTCGAGCATGCGCACTCATGTTAAAATTGGTTGCAATCTGAAACATCACAGATAGAGGCCGCTAAAAAACACACATAGCACCTTTAGCAGACACTTTTGATTTTAATAATATATTAGTATATGTTGAGATCATTCACTAAGATTAAAAAATGCTTCAGAATTGTTAGTTCATGTTAACTGATGTAGTTAGCTAATGTTAATTGTTAAGAAATGAAACCTTATTGTAAAGTGTTACCATTTTTTTGCATAGTAAATAAAACCTTGGTTTATTGTTTTAGTTTTTCCGTAATATTTAAAAAATATTAAAAATATTCCTCGTATTCAGAAGGTTTAATCAAACTTGTGGGGCCATTTAAAAACCAAAAATCACTACTGTATATTTTATATCCACAAGTTTCCTACGCCCCATGAGGCCTTGCGTCAAAAGTGGGCGCGTCTTCCGGTTCGAAGTAAACAAATCACAACTTGACATGCTTGACACTCGTTCATTCAACAGTTGACAGTCATTCAAGTTATAGCGATCCAAACTAGCTAACAATGTGGGAACACAACCTCAATGAAATTAAAAAGGGTGAAATAACAGTACCTTTACCCTCCGCAGTAGTTGATTGGGAGTATTATAATAACATTATTAATAATCAATACTCATCAAGGCATGGTGACAGACAGTTGTGCGAGCTGACAAACAATTAAAATAAAAAATACACACTTAGTCATTGTGCTTTGGAGTTTATTCAAAATTATAAATGAATGTGCTGCTTGAATACATTAACTGGCACATTTGGTATTCTGTCAACACAGGCTTTGATCCTGAGTTTAGGTGTAACATCAGTAGCGAACAGTCAATCACATGCTGATAGAGTTTATAGAATATTAAGAATTTAAACGAATGTAAACAGGTTAGATTCGTCGTCTTTTGGGAGGTGATGGAAACTACAGTCATTGGCAGGATCAGAGACGGGCTCTGGCAGGATCACTCTGATTTCATTTTCAGCTTATGATCAAAACAATCACGTTTAAGCCACTTAATTAGTTTAGTCCGGTTGTACATACAACCGCGAACAGCACATGTTGTCCCTGAGCTCCGTAACGACATCTCTCATAAAGATTTGTATTTAAATAGTAAAAAAATTCTCCGAAAAACAGCTAGCCTCTTCGCTAACTAACACACAAAATACCATTGGAATGCTACTTCTGCCACCTTACCGGAAGTTTCGCCCACTTTATTTTTTACAGGAGCGCCCCCCGGAAACTTGTGGATAAAGAAGTTATATAACTTATGTAAGCTTTACTGTATACAAACAGCTGGGCAATAAAATCGTTATATTTTTCAACATAACAAAAATCGACAGTTTAGATTTGGTATAGTTAGTATATATTGCTTTATGTGAGTGTATTATATATGCAGATAAAGTAGGATAAACTATACATCCAACATTTAATTGTGTAGATGAGTCCACAATCTGCATGAAGAAAACGGCAAGACTGCACCCAAAATGTCTCGTTTTTGTTGTTGTTGTGCTTTTCATAGCAATGGGGATGTGTTTCCATGTGAGTTTGCAGTGTTTGGGACTACTTGAAAGTTTATTCTAAGATTCCCAAAATCACAAAATCGGGAAGTGTGTGATGCCAAGTATTTAAAAGAAATCTGTTCCGATTTTTAAAAGTTGTTAAGTCTATTCCAGCCTTTAGGAAACAAACAATCTGATTGAAAATGTGGAAAGGTTTGTATGAGGGTTAGCTTTAGGGGGTACTTGGAGAGAGAAATCATATCATAAGCTCTGTATTAAAACAATGGAAGTCAATGGAAAGTCTCCACTATGATAGAAAAACAGATCTGTGAACACATTAGTGCTGTGAGGGTGTTTTGGAGGTGTTGATATAGAAAACCTGTGTGTTTGGGCCTTTGTTTGCATATTCGTATGTAAATGTGTTGTTATGAATGTCTTTATTTGGTTATCAGTTCTCACTGGTGTGTGTGTGTGTGTGTGTGTGTGTGTGTCTCTCTGTCGTGCTGTAATATAGGTCATCTTTTCCATCTCATTGACCAGGGGAACAGCTGTGCCTGAGGCCCTGCGCTGTCTGTGTGTGCGTGTCTGTCTGTGTTGGTTATGTGTCATGTTTAACGGACCCTACTCTTCTAAAGACTGCGTTAGGCAGGCTGGCTGGAAATGAAGAGTGTATGTCTGTGTGTTTCAGGCTGGACGAGAGATTGAGGTCAGGCAGAGTTCAGTGTTTTACAGCAGCGTTATGGGAGGAGATTCATGTTAAAGACAGTTTGTAATGGTTGTAACTGTCAGGCTGTCATCTCCAGGTGTCCAGTGTTTATGCCAGTCGTTGATCACAAACTTTGACTTGGTCTTGGTTAATTCTTGAGGTACAGATGGTAACAATTAAAAATGTAAAAGTTACTGATCAAGCCCTTGTACACTATGTTAAAAGTTAAAATCTTTATATATTAAATATTTTAGCTAGTTCACGGCTGCATTGTAACTAAATCTTACGTTAGTTGATCTTGTACATTTTTTCTGCCTTAATAAACATGTTTTAAACAATGAAAATATATGATTAATTTGATTACATTTATTGTTGATTTATATAAAGCATGTATGTATACTTCACTTTCATTAGGCATTTAATATTGTGTTCTACATTGTTTGCACAACTGTTAATGTCTATCAGTGTATACTTATTATGGATGCACAAAGTTTGTATGATATTTGTACTTGTCTTATCTCATTACACTGTTGCGATGTTCCAGTTTCTAAAATCTTAATTTTAGCTGTCGTACATGCGTAACTGTTGTTGATTTTTGTCAAATGCACAGGTGGTTCAGAATATTCTGCAAACTGAGACCGAATACTGTAAAGAGCTGCAGACTCTCCTCTCCACATATCTGAGAGCATTGCAGCCCACCGACAGGTGAGAACACAAAGCAAGAGTCCAACATAAACAGAGATGACAGTAGGTGAATCTCTTTCTCTCTCTCTCTAGGCTCAGCGTGTCAGATATCAGTCACATCATGGGAAATCTAGAGGAGATCAGCTCTTTCCAGCAGACACTGGTGCACTCACTGGAGGAAAGCGTCAAGTAAGAGTTCTCCTTCATCCAACCAGTCAACAGAGACATCTAGTGGTGGTTATGAATTCAGCTCTGTTCTCATTATTTTAGGGGTGCATGATATATCGGCCACCATATCGGTATCGGCCGATATTTGCTCATTTTTATGTTATCGTTATCGGCCCGATAATACAATTTGGCTGATATATTACAGCTGATAAATAATGAATTATTTCCTTCAACACTTGATACTTGAGACACTTAAGATGCGCACTGTTCAACATGATTGATCTTAAAGGAGAACTCCGGCACAAAATGAACCTTTGGTCTAATTACACATTGTTACCTAGTCAACCGTTATCTGAGATTTGTTTTCATGATTGCCGAATGTAAATAGTTTTATCTCTAAAAACAGTTTAGCCTATAACGCTAGTATATAGGGCATAGAGTAATGACAAATAAAAATCGCTTGTTATTACCACTAACAAGACTCAAAATAGCCCCACACTAACACGACAGCATAATAAGGGTCCCTACATTCAAACCGAAGCATTGAGAACTTTGTCAGTGTCCAAACAGTTTAATAAGAAGATATTTTATACACACAGTCAACTTCGCGAGTACAGGAAGAAGCCATCTTTAAAAAATAGTCTCTACCAGTCGATCTACGAGCACCGATCCAAGTGCGCTGACCTTATCACCTTATTCACATCTCACCAGCGCACTTGGATCGGCGTTCGTAGATCGACTGGTATATTTTGAGCCTTGTTAGTGGTAATAACAAACGATTTTTATTTGTCATTACTCTATGCCCTATATACTAGCGTTATAGGCTAAACTGTTTTTAGAGATAAAACTATTTACATTCGGCAATCATGAAAACAAATCTCAGATAACGGTTGACTAGTCAACAATGTGTAATTAGACCAAAGGTTCATTTTGCACTGGAGTTCTCCTTTAATTGCTTGAAATATGATTGGAATCAAAAAGGAAAACATAGTTAAGTGCAAAATGTGCTGTCATATCGGCTACATGAAATTATAATGAGAACATTATAATTGCGTTAGGGGACGGATTTTAATTGTGAGACTTTTGTTTTTGCAATCAGGCTTTCAAAAAATTATATAAAAATTGGATTTAGATTTATCGGCCGATATATCGGTTGTCTTTATCGGCCGATATATCGGTTATCGGTATTGGGCAAAATGTTCATATCGGTGCATTCCTAAGTTATTTAGTTCTAAATGAGGTGTGTGTGTGTTGTGTGCAGAGTTCCAGATAGTCAGCAGAGAATAGGAGGCTTCTTCCTGTCCCTCATTCCTCAGATGAAGAGTCTGTACGTGACTTACTGCTCCAACCATCCGTCCGCGGTTAACGTTCTCACACAACACAGGTGCGTAACATAACACAATCCACATAATGTCCATAAACAACAGCCACATGTATGCACACTCACAGAAACCCGGTGCATTGATGATTCACATATGCCAATGTTTTTGTGTGTGTGTGTCAAAAATACAGTCTCTGCAACATTTCTAATGACTTCTGTGCGTCTATGTATGTTTCAGTGAGGAACTAGGAGAGTTTATGGAAAGTAAAGGTGCGAACACCCCTGGAATCCTCACACTCACCACAGGCCTGAGCAAACCCTTCCTGAGACTGGAGAAATACCCCACTCTACTGAAAGAGATGGAGCGGCACATGGAGGTACTGGACCGCTCTCACTGTCTGTGTGTACATTACCCTTCAAACGTTTGCGGTTGGTCAGATTTTTTCAAAGATGTTTTTGAAAGAAGTCTCTTATGCTCTCAGAGGCTGCATTTATTTGATCAAAAATACTTGAAATATTATTGCCATTTAAAGTAACTGATTTCTATTTTAATATCTTTTAAAATGTAGTTTATTGCTGCATTTCCAGCAGCCATTGATGCATTTCTTCAGGTTTCTTTGATGAATAGAAAGTTCAAAAGAACAGCATTTACAGCATCTTTCATAACATTATCCCCCGGTTTCACAGACAAGGCTCAAGTCTAGTCCCAGACTAAAATGTATGTTTAAATTTTTTTTAACTGAAAGTAACTTGCACTGACGTATCTTAAAATATATCACTGCCGTTTGACTGTTTTGTCTCAAGAGGCCTAATCCTGGCTTAATCTTGTGAAACCAGTTTATAACCAGTCAATTTATTGTGTCCTTGCTGAATAAAGGTATTAATTTTATTAAAAAACAAATCTATAATTCAAATTTTAGAGGATTCTTTGATGAATAGAAAATGAAAAAGATATATTTTGTGACATTTTAAATGCCTTTACTGTCCCTTTTGATCAATTTAATTGTGTCCTTGCTAAATGAAATAATTATTTCAAATTTTGTATTGGTAGTGTGAATAAATATAGAGTAAACCAGTTTAACTCACTCATATTTTTCATTTAATCTGCCCAGGCGCTTCATCCAGATTATCCAGACATTCAGAAGAGCATGACAGTGTTTAAAAATCTCTCGGTGAGTATTATAAGGTCAACATCCTGGATTGTTTTTGATTTTCACCAGTATAATTAAAGCATGAGCGATGTGTGAGAATGACGACGAGCTGTTTTTCTGAATGACCTTATCTTTATCTTTCAGAGTGGGATGCTGTGCTTATTTGTGTGTTTATTGTTGTGTCTTCAGGCCCAGTGTCAGGAAGTGAGGAAGAGGAAGGAGCTTGAGCTACAGATTCTGATGGAGTCTATTCGGGGCTGGGAAGGGGAGGGCATTAAGACCCTGGGCTCGGTTCTCTACATGTCTCAAGTCCTCATCCAGAACCACGGCGCTGAGGTGAATGTCATCAGGGACACCCAGTCTAACAAGCTATATTTACATTTAAAGTCATGAACAAATAGTTTGTTACTAGTTAGATATCTTCTTTATGGACCCCTTAATTAAAAAACTTGGTTTAAGAGGAGCGAGACATTAATAAAAGATTTTAATTTACAAAAATAAAATGAAAATGGTACAGTCAAAATGAAATCTTTATTGTGATATTCTGCTTCTCAGGAGAAAAACGAGCGATACCTCCTGATGTTTCCTCACATTCTTCTCATGTTGTCTGCCAGTCCTCGAATGAGTGGTTTCATTTACCAGGTAAATGATTTTGCTGTCATATATATAAATAATAATAATTATATTTTTTTGCATAATTACTGAAATCACTTGTGGTCCTGGCACTCCCATGCATAAGTCAAAATGGTGACACTAGAAATATTAGAAAACTAGAAAATATTAGAAAACACTAGAAAACTACTGATGCTGCTTTTCAGAAAATACCAAATATTTTTATATGATTATTTCATATTTTGAGAATTTAATAGTTATAATATTGTCTATTGCTGTAATATTGTTTTTGCAATTTTCACAGCTTACATGATGGAGTTCATAAAATTTTAAAACTTGTGTATCCAGTTAAATAATTTAATAAAGTCACATTTCATCACAAGATAAGACTCAATATTATTCTATTATCTCATATTACTCCATCAGCTGTTTAGTTGGTCATGTATGCTCTAAAATGTTGACGGTTTATTGATTGACTTACACAGGGGAAGCTTCCTCTGACTGGAATGGCTGTTAATAAAATAGAGGACACTGACACCACAAAAAATGCTTTTGAAATATCTGGTAAGTTTCCCAGAAAGTTGTCCTCATGGTTTATGCAGGTGAATATTGCTAGCTGATGATGTTTTTGAATGCAGGAAGTATGATCGAGCGGATCCAGGTAGTCTGTAATAACCAGCAAGACCTTCAGGACTGGGTGGATCATCTACAGCGGCAGACCAAACGCACTTCAACCAGCAACTTGAAACCACAGAACGTCCCCTGCCATACGGTGAGAAACAGGCACTTTCCACAAACACACACTGTACACATCGTTCACAAGTTTGGGGTGAGTTTTTGAAATAAAATATTTATGCTCACCAAGACTGCATTTATTTGATCAAAAATACAGTACAGTATTACAATGTACAATAACTGTTTTCTATTTTAATATTATTACTCCAGTCTTCAGTGTCACATGATCCTTCAGAAATCATTCTAATATACTGATTTGCTGCTCAAGATACATTTCTTATTTTTTATCAGTGTTAAAAACAGTTGTGCTTATTAATACTTTTGTGGAAATGGTGATTCGCTTATTTGATGGTGAGGAAATAAGAATAAAAAAGCTACATTTAAATAGAAAACTTCACTTTTGATCAATTTAATGTGTCCTTGTGGAATAAAAGTATTAATTTCTTTCAAAAAATTCAAAGCTTTATCGATATTGGAAACTTTATTGTCCTTTTTCAGGAAATTTGTCTTGGGATCAAAGCTACAATAATACAGCAAATAGACTCGAGGCTGTGTTAATTAATACACAGTATACATATAGCAAATGCACACACAACTGCATCTTGCTATTTAACATATTAATTGATAGAGGATTAAGGATTTTTTATAACGGTTACTCTTACACAATGCTACTCTATACCGCCTCATAGATTGGGTGTTATTATACAGTGATATTCAGTCACTCATCTGATCTTCTCTTTCCCTTTCAGCTGCCGTCTCACCCTCTCACCCCGTCCAGACACTCAGAGACTCGCAGTACAAGCGGATCTCCAGTCTACCACACTCTTCCTCATCTCTCTTCACTTGGAACTCCTCACAGTGGGATGATGTGGGGGCCCCTCGAACCCCCCAAAACCCAGAAGCCCTGGAGTCTCAGCTGCCTCCGACCTGCGCCCCCCCTGAAACCTTCAGCCGCATTGTGTTACAAAGAGGTAGATGTTATTTGTACGTTAACAGCATCTCTAACAGAAGACTAGCTATACAGTGATTTACATATGATGCACTCTGGATTTGTGAATGAAACAAATTATTTATGAATAAACTTATTTAGTATTTTTTTTTTAATTTGCATCTAATTTCCGTATGTCTTCAGGATCTCAGTAAAAGTCCCAAAAGTGTGAAGAAGCTTCTGCCCAAAAGAAAATCTGAGAGGAAACCATCTGATGAGGAATTTGCTGTGAGAAAAAGTATGACACTCGTGACTCTATAAAAAAATGAAGTGTGTAATTAAAGTTCTTTTAGGGCCTGTTTATATGTGGTCACTTCGGGTTTTTTACTGATCGGATAGCGATCTTATTTGTTAAAACGGTTTCATTTACACTTGGCCACATAAATGTGTCAACCTAGTCTTTTCTTAATTGACCTATGGCTAAGCCACGCCCTCAAACGCGATGAGCCAATCACAGTGCGCAGCTGACCCAATACACTCGGACATTCTCTGCTTCCACGTCCATTGAAATGCATTCGATTTAGTTTTTTCTTGTCATCTTAAGTTTAAAATGGGCTACATGCAACTCCGACACTAGGTTCCCGAGTGGCTTGGCGACGGTGTGTATTTGTCTACATCTGTTCTACAACATATTTGAACGTTATCTTTAAAATCTCTAATGTAATGTTAGCCTGAGGTCAGTTGGATAGAGAAACGCATGAAATGACTGGATGTGAACAGGCCCTTAGTTTTCACACATTTATGTGATGTGTTTATTATACTCACATGCATTGCTTTCTGTGTTTAGTGTTTGCAAGAAAAAGGTCCCTTTATAATCATCTCACAGTGTTACCTGATCAATTACATCTTTTGTGCTCTTCTTGTTTCCCATAAGGCACTGTAGCTCTGGAGGAGGATGCTCAGATCCTGAAAGTGATCGAAGCATACTGCACAAGCGCTAAAACACGGCAAACACTCAACTCAAGTATGCACTCTTATGTGTGTCATTTATTCTCTTGTGATTTTTTTTTTTTTTGAATTTTTTTTAATTCTTTGAAATCAAGCTTCTTCAGTCCCAGACTGTGTGACACGAGTGTAATGAGTGAAGGAAATATAACTGTGCATCTGTCAATTTGTTTGTCCCAGTTTAAAGGTTCAAATATACACTACCGTTCAAAAGTTTGGGGTCAGTATTATTTTTCTTTTTTTAAGAAATTAATTCCTTATTTAATAAGAATTCATTGAATTGATCAAAAATGACAGTAAAGGATTTGTATTGATCAAAGAATCCAAAGAAAATTCAGTTTTGATAAAAATATTAAGCAACGCAACTCTTCTCAACATTCAGCATATCAGAATGATTTCTGAAGGATCATGTGACACTGAAGATTGGATTAACGATGCTGTCATGATTTTTTTTTTTCCTGTCATCATTTGTCAAAAATAACTTTTTCCCATTACTGGAGTAAATTACATTTTAAAATGTATTAAAACAGAGAACAGCTGTTTTAAATAATGTGTAATAATATTTTACACAACATTTCTGTTTTACTGTATTTTTGATCAAATACAGCCTTGGTGAGCATAAGAGACTTCTTTCTTAAACACTTTTAAAAAATCTTACCAATCCCTAACTTCTGAACGTTAGTGTATTTGGGCTAGAAAACCCATATTTTAAAGGAGTAGTTCACATTTAAAAAAACTTTTGCTGATAATTTACTCACCCCATGTCATCCAAGATGTCCATGTCATTCTTTCTTTAGTCGAAAAGAAATTAAGGTTTTTGATGAAAACATTGCAGGATTTTTCTCCATATAATGGACTTCAATGGGAACCAAACGGTTCAAGGCCCAAAAAAAGTGCAAACTGTTGAAAGGGCTTTAAACAATTTCAGACAATGAATAAGGGTCTTATCAAGCGAAACGATCACTCCTTTAAAAAAATCGTGTCATTTGGTTCATTCAACGAACGAAATTGAAAGTTGACTCAGGAAAAGATTCGTTCATTTTGATGAACGAGTTCATACGGGAGTCATGAACGCGCATCTCAGAACAGAGCAAGGAGAGCATTTGAGCTTATAAAACTTAAACTTTGTTTTTGTTTTTTTAAATGAGTGATCGTTTCGCTTGATAAGACCCTTATTCATCGTCTGGGATCGTTTAAAGCCCTTTGAACAGTTTGCAGTTTGCACTGAAACTGTCTTTTGGACCTTGAACCGTTTGGTTCCCATTGAAGTCCATTATATGGAGAAAAATGCTGGAATGTTTTCATCAAAAACCTTAATTTCTTTTCGACTGAAGAAAGAAAGACATGGACATCTTGGGTGACATGGGGGTGAATAAATTATCAGCAAGATTTTTTTAAAAGTGATCTACTCCTTTAAGTCCTATTGAAGTCTCTGATAAACATTCTTCGATATGTCTTTAAAATACTGCAACATCTTTTGATTATTTTTTTAATTCTTGTGGCATTCTCTATTTAAATGTGTGTTGACTTAACTCTTTACCATGTTGCTCAATCTAATATTTTCTGCTCTTTTAACATGCATATTTGTCTCTTTTCCTCTCCCTTCCTTTATTCCTTTCTTTTTCACCCATTTCTCTCTTATGTTGTCCTGCCATTCTTATTGCTTTTTGTTCTTTTTTTTTTTATTTCATTTGTCACTTATATATCATTTATTGGGCGTCCTTCACTTTACTCATCTTGGTTTGGTCCATCCTCTCAACCCACCCATCCTCTCCAATATGATTGGTTTGATTCCCCATCCCTGATTAGCATGGCAGGGCACTGATTTGATGCATAATCATGTGCTGGCTGATGTTGGCCAATCGTATGTGGATGCTGTGGGTTGTCGTAGCAGCGGATTTCCCTCTGACCAATCCGAAGACTCGGACTATGACACTATATGGATAACTCACTCTAACAGAATTGGTTCTATGTCCCGTAAGAGCTGCTGCTCGTATATTACACATCAAAATTAAAACACTTTTTTTTCTTTTATTTTGTTTGCATTGAAAGTCACAAGCTCTTTTTGAGGGCTTAAATATAAGTTAGTTGGGAACATATTGAAGAGATGGTTGATATGAAAAAGCAAGAAAGATGTTTTCACTGCTTTTGCTCCATGGCTTTCATAGGACAGAAGCATTCATATTTAAAGGAGTAGTTCACTTTAAAAAGAAAAACTTTTGCTGATAATTTCCTCACCCCCATGTCATCCAAGATGTCCATGTCTTTCTTTCTTCAGTCGAAAAGAAATTAAGGTTTTTGATGAAAACATTCCAGGATTTTTCTCCATATAATGGACTTCAATGGGAACCGAATGGTTCAAGGTCCAAATGAGAGTTTCAGTGCAAATTGCAAACTGTCCAAAGGGCTTTAAACGATTCCAGACGATGAATAAGGGTCTTATCAAGCTAAACGATCGCTCATTTAAAAAATAAAAAAAGTTTAAGTTTTATAAGCTCAAATGATCGCCTTGCTCGGTTCTGTGATGCTCGTGACTCTCCTGTTCGAACTGGTTCATCAAAATGAACAAACCTTTTTTTCGAGCCAATTCGTTCAATTCATGACTTTTCGCTTGATAAGACCCTTATTCATCGTGTGGAATCATTTAAAGCCCTTTGAACAGTTTGCACTGAAACTGTCTTTTGGACCTTGAACCGTTTGGTTCCCATTGAAATCCATTATATGGAGAAAAATCCTGCAATGTTTTCATCAAAAACCTTAATTTCTTTTCGACTGAAGAAAGAATGACATGGACATCTTGGATGACATGGGGGTGAGTAAATTATCAGCAAAAGTTTTTTTTAAAAGTGAACTACTCCTTTAATAGTGCCCTATCTTAACATGCTGTACAATGTAGTACTTATCTTAAATCTATAAAGATATATGTTCAATTGACACAGTTTGTCAATGAGTCTGTTAACCAGTTCAGTTGTTAACCTTACATTGTTAAACTTCTTTCAGGATCAAGGAAGGAGCCAGGGCCACATATGCTTTTTCCTGAGGAGGAGAAAATCATTGTGGAAGAAACTAAGAGCAATGGTCAAACCGTACTCGAAGAAAGGTCACTAATTTGCATTCAAATATTGCTATATTGTCATTAGGGCTCTCAGTTTAATCCAGTCATTTATCATGATTAATCTTACAATAATGTTGCACATAAAAAAGTTAGTGATGCATTGATGTGAAAATTGTGGCCAATAATACCGATAACCGATATTAATATTGCCGTTATGGCCGATACCGATATTTGCCGATGTCGATATCTCTGTATAGAAAACACATAGCGAGGTTCAGGGCTGCTTGTTTTAAACTTTCATTAAAGTGAATCGGTTCAAAGGAGTTATTAGTTCGCGAATCGGACGTGTCATTAACAGACCACGGCACACATCGTGTGATTATCCAGGCAGTTTAGGACATTGCACGAGATTTGTCTTAACGCAGAAAACATTTCATCACCAGATAGATTTTTTTGGTTCCAGCGCGCAAGTTCCAGTCTTCTTGCGCTTGAGGTTTAAACGGACTTGCGCTTGTATGGACTCATGCAAAAACAAACATCCCACATCTACACGCATGTCAAATACACAGGAATCATCGACATGTTCACATCGGCCCTATTTTGACATCGGAATGATACCGATGTGTAAAAAATTGAACAAACTGATAAAAAAAGTGAATTGTTTTGTAGTTGTTCATGATTTTTTTTCATTTGGATATTCATTCCAGGAGTCTGGTGGATACAGTTTATGCCTTAAGGGATGAGGTTCAAGAACTTAAGCAGGTCAGTCCACATGCCCCACGCAAACGTTCCTTTATGCTGAATGTGATGCCATTTCGTTGAAAGTCTAAATCTGGTGCCGTGACCCGGATGCTCTGATTTTTACATCACCAGGATAACAAGAGAATGAAGCGAACTCTCGAAGAAGAACAAAAGGCACGGAAAGAGCTGGAGAAGATTGTCAGGAAAGTGTTAAAGAGTATGAACGACCCGTCCTGGGACGAGACTAATTTGTGATCCCATATCTGGTAACTGTGTGTTCTGTGTATTCCTAAGTCCTGACCAAAAACGCTTGTAAATATTGTGACAAAATTGGACTTGATCCCTTCAGTCACAGTAGTATGCCTTTTTTAAACCTGATCCTTTTTATGCCTTTTTTTTTTGTTTGCCAGTGCCAAGTATCTAGTTGAACCCATTTTCAGATATGCTAATGATATAAGAAATGTATTGAGGCTAGACATCCTCTAGCAGAAACTTACTTCTCATCTCTACCGGATCAGGTGTGGTCTGGCAAAGCTGCCAAAAACAAAATTCTCGCAGTTCGATCACTTAGTTTTCCGTCACAGATGTCATTGGTTCCTAGTCTAAAACTGGGAGTCTCAGGGATGATAGACACACTGTACCTACAAATGTTGCCAGGCCTGCATCACTGCCTGCGTCCTCTGACTTTTAGAATCATAAGCCAATGTGTTCATTAAGTGATGACATTCAGTAGAATTTTTCCAATGGAAAACCTTGCAATGCAATACTGGAGACAAATCTGAGGGAACTAGTCTTAAATGGTTACATTTTCAAAGTTGCTTTTACAATAAGCTCAGTTTTAACTCGTCTGGTCGATCTTTTGCACCTTGCAGCTTGTATCTTTTTCTTTTTTTAAACTTTTATTATGGTCCTTTTAACCCTAATTGTGCATTCGCAGATTTTTGTTTTGTACAGAAATAATCCTTTATTGTATTTAATGCTCAGAAATGTGCCTTTTTTGGAAAAAAGAGATTTCCAGAATTTTGTCAGCATTTCTAGCTCCGTCAGCATTTCAAAGAAACCTTTGTAAGAAACCTGTATGCAAGATTTATTTTAAATGAACACTGAATCTGTGGTTAGGAACTGACAGATTAAGAGTCTTCTATGTTGTCTGTCTAATTTATGTATTTAAATGAAATATTGTCTACTGCAAAATGACTGTGTATTGTGAAATTTCCAGATAACCTCGACTACTTTCTCTTCCCAAAGCACTCTCGCTGTCTTACTCTATATTTCTTGCTGATTTAATTAAATAAATACAAATTCTTACTGTGACTCTTTAAAAAGTATTTGTGCTTGTCTGATTCCTTTTTTTTTTGCGCTATTAGTCATAACATGAGAAATCAGATGTGCCTTGATTTTTGACATGTATTAATGGGAACTAAACGGTTCAGTGCCGCTTCAAATGGCTTTAAACGACACCAGACGATGAATAAGGGTCTTATCTAGCGAAATCATCGGTCATTTCAAAAATAAATAACGAAAATCCTGTAATGTTTTCATCAAAAACATTAATTTCTTTTTGACTGAAGAAAGAAAGACGTGGACATCTTGGATGACATGGGGGTGAGTAAATTATCAGCAATTTAAAAAAAAAAAAAGTGAACTACTCCAGACATTGTTAAAATAGTCCAAGCGACTACAGTGGCTTAAGTTTATCAAGTGACGAGAATACTTTTTGTGCGCAAAAAAGGATAACGACTTTACTCACCTTTCCATTTCCTTCCTCGAGCGATTTCACGTAGTGTAACAGCGCAGCGCTTCTGTGTTGTACGTACAACTACAACATATAGTTGAATAAAGTCTTTATTTTTGCTTGTTTTCTTGTGTACAAAAAGTATTCTCGTTGTTTGATAAACTTAAGATTGAGGCACTGTAGTCACTCTGACTAATTGAACGATGTTTTTAACTTTTCTGGGCTGACATGTTTCAATCCCTTAGGTATGGAAGCTTGTTTCTGCCACAGAATGAAAAATAATTTTTTTTAAGAGTTATAAAGTCAGAATTGATTGATATAAAGTCGAAATTGCGCGTTGTAAAGTCAGAATTGTGAGATATAAACTCTTCTGAGGGGGGAAAAGTATTTTTTCCCCTCATAATTGGCCTGATTACTCATTGCGAGTTTATATCTCACAGTTCTGAGAAAAGATGTCAGAATTTTGAGATATAAACTTGCAATTATATGTTATAAAGTCAGAATTGAGAGATATAAACTTGTGAGGGAAAAAAAGTCTCAATTCCTTTTTTCTCACAATTGTAACTATTTCTCAAAATTGCGACTATTTCTCATAATTGCGACTTTATATCTCGCAATTGCAACTTTATTTCTCATAATTGCAACGTTATATCTCGCAATTGCGACTTTATTACTCATAATTGCAACTTTATATCTCGCAATTGCGACTTTATTACTCATAATTGCAACTTTATATCTCGCAATTGCGACTTTATTACTCATAATTGCAACTTTATATCTCGCAATTGCGACTTTCTCAGAATTGCGACTTTATATCTCAGAATTGCATCTTTATATCTCGCAATTGCAACTTTATTTCTCATAATTGCAACTTTATATCTCGCAATTGCGACTTTCTCAGAATTGCGACTTTATATCTGTAAATTGCAACTTTATTTCTCATAATTGCAACTTTATTTCTCATAATTGCGACTTTATATCTTGCAATTGCAACTTTATTTCTCATAATTGCAACTTTATATCTCGCAATTGCGACTTTCTCAGAATTGCGACTTTATATCTGTAAATTGCAACTTTATTTCTCATAATTGCGACTATATCTCGCAATTGCAACTTTATTTCTCATAATTGCGACTATATATCTCGCAATTGCGACTTTATTTCTCATAATTGCGACTAAATCTCGCAATTGCAACTTTATTTCTCATAATTGCGACTTTATATCTCGCAATTGCGACTTTATTTCTCATAATTGCGACTAAATTTCGCAATTGCAACTTTATTTCTCATAATTGCGACTTTATATCTCGCAATTGCAACTTTATTTCTCATAATTGCGACTTTATATCTCGCAATTGCGACTTTATTTCTCATAATTGTGACTAAATCTCGCAATTTCAACTTTATTTCTCATAATTGCGACTTTATATCTCGCAATTGCGACTTTATTTCTCAGAATTCTGACATATCTCGCAATTGTGAGATAAAAAGTCCCAATTATTTATTCAGTGGCGGAAACAAGCTTCCATACTTAGAAGCCTACATGGAGGAGTGATCCAGCTCTCAGATTTAATCAAAAATATCTTAATTTATGTTCCGAAGATGAACAGAAGTCTGACAGGGTTGGAACAACATGAGGGTGAGTCATTACTGATAGAATTTTCATTTTGGGGTGAAGTAACCCTTTAACATAAGTAAACCTCAAGGAACATTCAAATAATAATAATAAAAAAAATCCATGACCCCTTTTTATTGTATAAATCTTGTCTTACTGAATCTTATCTTTCTTACGGTAGTGTGTATTATCAGACAATGTTATTTTACAAAGCATTTGAACATGTTAACAAAATGTTGTACAAATGTTTGTTCAAAACTTGCTAGAATGTCAGCCAAAGTTCTGAGAATGTTTCCCGTTAGCTAGCCAGTCAAAATGGCATGACAAACTTCAGTTGTTCATTCTTTAAATATAGCCCGATCTGCACTGCAGTGCTTACAGTACAGACATGGCATGGCACAATCTTCTTTCTCTTATTTCCTCTATTGTTTCATTCCCATTGTCTGTGATAATCCAGGGCTGAGATGGCAACATGGAAGCTGTCGAACAGAAAAGGCTGAAACTCAAGAGAAGTGGGTGGATTTTGGATTCTCTTTTTGTGTACACCGGTGATGTGATGGATGTTCAAATGTTTCTCTTTCTTTCTCTCCACATCAAGTTATGTCTGTGCTCAAACTCAATATTCATTTGCAATCTAAATTCCTGGCTTGACGTCTCCTCTGCCGTTTCTTTCATTTCTGTAAATTATAAGAAAGAAAATTTGGATTATGATGAAAATGTCACTGGTTTGTTCATGGCTTTAGCATTGTTTGAGATGTTGGCACATCGATATTTCAACCCACAGGGCTGCGGTGCAGGTGTGGAAAAACTCTTGTGTGTTTCTGTCTCATATCAGTTTTTCCAACATCCACCTCCACCCTATTATGGCAAACAATGACTCGCACCAAACGCTTCCAAAGACTCACAATCCTCAGGGACAGCAAGGCATTGTGGGAGATTTAATCACTGACTGAGGCTCATGCAGAAGGAGGCAGGTTGTTCTTTTGTGTCAGAACTGAGGCAACTTTGACATTTTGAGAAAGACTGACGTTTAGGACACATTTACATAAGGACAAAGCCCAGAGAACGGAAGAGAATGGTACAGAGATAGACAGAACATGTTAAATGTCACTTAATTGAGCCGCTCTGTGTGTCTCAAATGTTCTAATTGTGTTAACCAAATGAAATTCCCAGCTACACTGACTGTACATGGACTGATGAATGGGAGAAAAGTATTGTGAACTATCCCTTTAAGACATAGTGTCGGTCCAGATCTGGGCGATATCAGTAGAGCTGCACGATTTTGGATAATTTGAAAATCACGATTTTCTTGTTTCAAACAAAGATCGTGATACTCCCACGATTCTGACAAGAGACAACTGAACAAAATAATAATTTACTAGAGGTTCTGACAAAATGTTAATTGCTGCAGTCTGTTTAAAATGTTTAATTAATTTGAATTAATTATTTGAAAAATCGTGGTCATTTAGGAGTGAGATTCCGTGATTGTATGAATCAAGATTGCGATCTTTTAGTGATCAATCATGCAGCGCTAAGCCATAGGTATAAGTATAGACTTGGGATAGAGAACAACCACCCAGAGCACCATAGCAACCACTTAACAACACCCCACAAGCCACTCAGAACACCTTAGCAACTGCTTGGCAACCACCCTGGCATTGTGAATTATAGGTCATGACAAAAATGCTGGGTTGTTTCAACCCAAATTTAGGTCAAATATGGACAAACCCAAATGTTGGGTTAAAAATGTAAAATTTTAAATTACATTTTTAACCCAACATTTGGTTTTGTCCATATTTGACCCAAATTTGGGTTAAAACAACCCAGCATTGTTGAGTGTATGATTTTGCCTAGTAATGTTCCTGTATTAACATAATTTATTGATTCTGTAAAAACATTTCTGTCCAATAAAATGTAATCCTATCCCTAACCCTTCCCAAAACGTCTCCCTAAAATCAGAGGGAAATAACACTGATGTAGAAGCACCTAACCCTGGTTATAAGCTGAAATTTGAGGTAAACTTGTCCCTCAAATCCAACTGGTTAAAAGGCATGTTGCATGATCGACAAAGATGTGCTTTCACCGAGAGTTAAATTTTAACACAATTTAAGTCCATCATTTGATCTCAGTTATGTTTATATATTATATATTAAATCCCATGGTGGCCTTTTAAGCAATTCTTCAGTTCAAATCCTAAACCCTAGACTGAACAACGCTAGATGAAAGGCAAAAGCTCGCTCTCCTTTCCATTTATCCCACAAAAGGGTTAAGGTTGTACTTCAGCCTTATGCAAGTGACAGGCCAAATTTCATTCTTTTATGGACGCTGACTGCCCCTCATTGACTCACAATGGAAAGGATATAATTTTGCAGATGTTGGTGAAAAAGCTCAAATGTCAGCCTCTTTTCAAACTGCCAGTCCTGCCTTAGTCCAGGGATGAATAATGGATCAGTCACCTTTGTCTACTGCTGAATATTCTTACATAAATACAAAGACTCATAAAACGCATTAAAAGAGCATCTAATTCATCTTTTAACGCACAGATCAAACGCTGTGATAACTCGGCCCAGAGTCCGCTTTTCTTAACGACAGACAGGTGAATGAAGAACCCCTTTGTGCTCGCTGTGTCTGGAACAAACGTCTGATTTACCCCAAACTGCTGTATTTCGTGTTTCGCCTGGTTTTTGTTAACCCTTCCACAGAAGCGAAAGGCTAAAGAGAGTCCTATATGCGCACACATGGGCTTTTGGGTAAAGACCTCTGTTATTTTAAGGAGATTTTAAATTTGGTCAGCCTCATGTTGTTCCAAACCCATTTGACTTTCTGCGATTTTCATGGATTACAAAATGCCATGGAATATTCGCGCTATATATATAGCGCGATATATATATAGAATATTCTCTTTTTCTATGCAAATAAAAGTGAATGGAGACAGATGTAGGCTAGTCAATCTACAAAACATGTCCAAAAACACC